CTTATAAGATAAGGGAAACATGTGGGATCCATGGGGAGGAAACAAGTTCAAAGGCAATTTTCTCATCTTCTTCATCATTTTCTTCTTCCCACCGTGGAGCACCCAAGCCAAGGTAATTTTAATTTCTTTTGGTTAATTCTTAAAATTCAAGAGTGGGTTTTGGTCCTTAGGTGATACTTAAGCTTAAGGAAAGATTAAGTTGTCTTATAATCAAAAGATGAAGAAATTATGAAAGATTAAAGAGAATGGGTTTCAAAGTGAATTTCCAAAAAAGAGTTAATAAGTGAATTTAGAAGTTGAATTTGACTTGTCATAGGAATGAATAATACGTTATAAGTGTTAGAATTAAGTTTGGATAACAAGGAAAATTGGGTATGATTCTTAGCTTTAAGAATTTGAATAAGTATGGGAGATTTTAAAGTGTTGAAATGATAGAAGTTAGTTAAAATGGTTGTAGTTAAGTTTGGTGGTATGAAAGGAACTTTGTATGAGAAAATTTAGTGAAGAGTTCATGATTTTCGGGTTTGAACAGTAAATTCTGGGTTTTACAGATTAAGCAGGGGGAATCGATTCCCTATGGGGAGGGTATCGATACCCCCTAAAGAAAAGTTGAAGTTTGGTTCATTAAATTCGTTTAAGATATTAATATCAAGTTATAAGGTTTAGGCTTTTGATAATTGTCTCGGAAATTATGTTTATGTAGATATCGAGCCTAAACGAGTTCCGGAACAAGTGAAAGTAAGAACGATCAAGGGATTAGAAACGATTGATAAAGAGATAAGTTCTAGAATTGGTTCAAATGCAACAAGGCTAAGGTGAGTGCACATACTAAACAAATTGTATGGAGAAAGATTTGCGATAAGTCTATCTCTTATAGTTGAATTCATGATTTCATATTCATGTACATGCATCCACATTTATATATTGATATAGTGATTTCATGCATAATTCATTTATGCTTTAATATGATATTATATGAAAAAATGAAATTGTCAGAGAATCAATCCATGTATGTGAAATAATGAAAGTGATCATATGTGTACATATGAAGTGAAATATATGTTTATATGAAAAGTGATGAAAAATATATGAAAATGATAAATGTATTCATATTTAAGCCCATGTGAGTTAACATGAGAGTTGTAGGTATAATTGGCATGCCAAGAGTTGAGGGTTCTACGTGGTCCTTCGAGACATATATGTAATTCTGTGGAACATATGTGGTACTTTGGTACACTTATTTGGTCCATTGTATTATGTATATGGTTCTTAAGGAGTGGTCATTCGGGACATATACAGGGTCATTCGGGACAAATATTCAGTGCCCCTAGTGGGAATTTATACGAGCTGTGGTGACAACATATGTGCACAACCTCAGTGTACTCACGTACCTTCTGTTCTCAATAATATACATGGCAATTGAAAGGTAAATTAAAGTGAAAGTGGTATAAGAAGGTAAGTTCATATGTGAATGACATGATCATATATTGTATAGTGCAATACCTACATGCAAGTTGTAATGTCATGATTGGATGGTAAGAGTGCATGTTTCATGAATTCATCGTTATATATTTAATTATGCTCAATAAGTCTATGATTTAACATGTAAGTGATTTACACGTAGGTACCAAGAATCCAAGAATAGCATAAATAAGAGTGGCAAGAATAGCAACACTGCTAGAAGATCAGATCAGAATTAACTAATAAAGTATGTATTTTGATTGTATAAAGTATGTTGGCATGTAAGAAATGTAATAAGTTGTCGTACAAACGCCCTGATCGACTTTCTAATGTTTTGAACTTATTTATGTAAGTGTAAATGTATAGTAATGAACGGTTAAATTTTTACGAGTTTTATGTACGTTTTACGGAAATACTGTAGCATGGGAATCGATTCCATGTTTATAATATGGAAAATTTAGCATTTGGTACTGTAGCAGGGTATTATTTAAGGTATTGTTCATTAATGTTCACGGTACTGTTCATACCATATTTTACTGTTAATAAATACGTTTTTACCTCAAAATTTTAGTTCGAACATAATTTAATAATATATTATCTTATTTTCTTAAAATAAGTCAAATGTTTTGTTATTTTGTAAGCAAAAGTGTTTTAAAAAGTCAATGTGACATCTTAGTAGGGGTGTAAACGAGCCGAGTCGAGTCGAGTATTGTGACTCGACTCGACTCGAAAACTTTAAAATTGAGCTCGACTCGACTCGAAAACTCGCGAGTTTAAAATTTTCAAGCTCGACTCGAACTCGAAATCCTGAACTGAAGCTCGTGAGCAGCTCGAAATGAAGAAAAAAATTCTTAAACTTAACTCGATTGATGCCTCAAATTCGAACCTGAACCTTAAATGCATGAAAATCTTAATGTATTCTCTTTAAAAAATCAATACATAAATATTAATATTTTTAATAATTTTTTTTAAAAAAATATAATCTTATATATTATATTTTCGAGCTGCTCACGAGCTTTTCGAGTCGAGTATCAAGTAGCTCGTTTCGGTCGTTAAGAATTCGAGTCGAGCTCGAGCTCGAGTCGAGTCCATTCGATCCGAGTATTTATCGAGCATTGATCGAGTCGATCTCGAGTAGCTCACGATCTGTCTCGCCTCATTTACAGCCCTACATCTCAGACTCGTATTCGGGTCGGGTACGGGTTGGGGTGTTACAAAAAATATCCTTCTTCTGTCATTGAATAATAAAAATTCTACGAAGGTTAAATTACAAATTTATCCTTAAACTATTTTAGATTTACAAAAAAAAGTCTATAATTAAAATTTTATATGAAGTTCTAGAAAAAAAATTAGCTGACCCTATTCCCATATGTAATAGGAGTAAAGGTGAGATAAGGTTTTAAGCTGCCCTCAATGTCAGATTGAGAGCAGCTTCCGTGGAAGACCTCCGTTATGAATTGCCCTCAGTGGGAATCGATCCCACGACCAAGGTTAAGAGCCTTGCGCTCTACCAACTGAGCTAGACGGGCAATTCTAGATATGAAGTTCTAGAGTTAAAATAAAATTTTACCCTTTCATTAAACCTTTTTATATTTTTAATTTTGTAAAAAATATATATATATATATAAATTTTATGAATTTAAATTTTTTGAAGAAAATATATAAATATTTTTCAACTTATTAAAAAAATAAATATATAATAAGGACAATTTGGTCAAATATATATTCCCATAATCTTTTATTCTTTTAACCAAATACGATAATCTTACATTCATGTTAAGCCAACTAAACACAAAATACAACATTCCAGTAATCCTATTCCCTGATAATCTTACATTCCCACTGATAATCTTATATCGTGAACCAAACGCACCTTAACCTTAAACGTTTCAATAATCCATCTCGTTTGAGCGTTGTTGGCCTGAATATATATATATATAATATCAATAGTTATCTTACCAACCCTTGTTTGTTTTACTGAGCAAAACCCTTTTAAGGCCTTAAACTAAACCGTTTTTCCAAAGTTGATGACAGTCAATGTCAGAGAACTCGAATTCCAAGGAAACCAGAACACTCTACATCCTCAATTATAGTGTTCACCGCTAGAATTCTCTACATCTAAAGTAAATAAATCATTTTCCAATAAAAAATTGAATATCACTAACAAGAAACAAATTTCAACTAATAAAGCTACCCATCACTGCAATAATGATTTGGAAAAATAAAATTTCAATATGATAATTATTCTAAGGGTAAAGTATAGTAATGGTCACTGAACTTTTCTAAAGTTTCATTTAGGTCTCCTAATTTTAAAACTTGCAATATAGTCCCCCAACATTTAGTTTATTTGCAATATGGTCCCCCAACAGTTACATCAAGGACCATATTGCAAATGGACTAAATGTTGAGGGATCATATTGCAAATAGACTAAATATTGGGGATTATATTGTAAGTTTTAAAAGTTGGATCTAAATGAAAGCTTTAGAAAAGTGTAACTTTAAACAAAAATACTATCCATTTCATACTTGAGTAATGTAATATGTATCAATAATTAAAAAAATGTAACTGCCAAAATGGCCGCTCGCTCAATCCATAATTACCACCACGCCGCCACCACCACCAAAATTTATAACAGCTCTTTTCCACCGCCACTGCCAGCCTCTCCTCCATTCCTAAGTTTCCCTTCTTTCTTCAACTTATCCACCGTTGGAGGACTTGACCGTATCATATTATTACTTGCCTTCGGAGGGAACGACAACCGCTTCTTTTCAGCAGGGGGCAATCCCCTGTCCGGTATCTCACTACGCCGTCGTTGCCTTAGAATTCAGGGCCGCTGCGGCCGCGATTCTATGGCTGTCGTCCTCTCGAACCGATGGAAAACCTCCAACGATACTTTGTCGTCTCCGTTGATGATCCCGTGCGGAGTCGTCATCCCATGCGCGTCGTGTTACGCTTAGACTCGCCGTCTAATTTTATTAGTAACTGATGAAACTGAAGCTATCTTTGAGGGAGGAGTGGGAAGAGATTGGCGGACGGAAGGTCAAGTGGTGGATTTAGAAGGTGCAAGAGATGGCTTGTTAATATTTTCGTTGTTAGAGATGGAATTAGAGGCAGTCACAATGTTGAGTGGTGCATTGTTAGGTGTTGAGGTTGACGTCTCCCATGGCCGAGCTGCCATCCATCTCTCTAACCATCCCCATCCCCAGTGGGGATTCTGTTGTCGATCCATTAACGTTTGATTCGCTGCTTTAGAAGGCACCTTCCATGATCGCTGCATGTATTCCACATTCGTTCAATAACAATTTAAAATATACTGGTATCATATGCATATTTATATTCATTTACAACACCTGGTGAGTGAACGCATAAGCTAGAGCTCTTTCCCTTTTCTCAGCAACTTGTTGCCTGTACTGTTTTATTGCTTCACATTGTTCCTTGGATTTTTTACTGTCATGCCAGTTGATCCCATCTGTTCAATTTCCCAAATGTTAAAAAAGAGTTACTAACTACTCGACTAATCATTCACATGAACTTACAGATGCATTCTTCTCCTCCAACTCTTTCTCGCGTTTCTTTTGAAGGTGTTGGTGAAGCATCTGGTTTTCTTCCCACATTCTACGTCTTCTTGCGTGATTCTGGGACTGCGCCCGAGCTTGAAACTACACGCGTCTCAGTGTACTCGTGGTTTGTTTTATGGATTGCACCTGGTACAACGACGATTTCAACCTCTCCAACCTTCTCAAACCCCTCTTTGCCTGAAACACAACTCCCAAATTCAATCACTCCTATGCATCAAATACAACTAATTGTTCATCAAGGCCATATTTCATTCTACTTGTACAAGTATTAGACACAATTACATGCATTAAATGAGTATCTTCAGTTTCCTGTGCCTGATAACTCAAATACAATTATTTCATTAATTTGCTTATAAAAATAATAACTCATTGAATTTATAAATGAGCTTACACTTAAACTATTAGATGAAATCACATTAAATCTTAAATCCTTTTAATTTCAATAAAACAAAATATTATAATACCACTTGTTATGAATTTATTAAATTCATTAAAAAACAAACAATACAAGGCCAAAATGAAATAATAAAATTACAAGATTTAAAATTTAATGTGATTTAGTCTTGTCAAATCCTATATCTTCTTAGAAGTACACATATTATTATTATTGTATCATACATTTCCCAATAGCATTTATATTTTGAGTGTATATTTAATGTATTTATGGTGCATATTCAGATATAACAACTAGTAATAAAAAATAGGGTAAAGTATAATAATGGTCATTGAACTTTTCTAAAGCTTTTATTTAGGTCCTCTAACTTTTAAAACTTGCAATACAGTCCCCCCAACATTTAGTCCATTTGCAATACAGTCCCCAACAGTTGCTTCAGGACCATGTTGCAAATGGATTAAATGTTGAGGGACCACATTGCAAACGGACTAAATTTGGGATTATATTGTAAGTTTTAAAAGTTGGGGGACCTAAGTAAAATCTTTAGAAAAGTTCAGTGACCATTACTATACTTTACCCTTATTCTAATTTATTTTATTAAATAAAATAAATTTTACAAAATATAAAACACGAAAATTAATATAAGAAGATATCTTATTTTTCTTACATCTTTTCAAAGACATCAAATAATCTATTTGACTCAATTGATTGTGTAACATTTTCACTGCATTGTCCCAGCAAATTTGCCAGGTAATATGTATTGGGTGTTAATGCATTTTTACTTTTACCGCCACGTAGAAATTAAAAACTGCGAAAGCACGATAGAATGACACATGCCTTCCCACATGTCATTCTACAGACATTTCTAACACTGTCTATAAATCGGTCTCTCAATTGTAATATAGTCTTCACTTTTTGAATCGGATAATTTCAACTAGCGAGGAAAAGAGTGAGAAAAAGATGGCTCCAAAGCGTCTAAAGTTGTAGTGAAATCCACTAGGAAAATTGTGAAGGAAACTGTTAAAGTAGCTGTAGTTGAGAAAACAGAGGGAGACACCAATGGTGATCAGAAACAGTCGGAGACGGTTCCTTTCCAAGACATAACAGAGGAAAAAGAAGAACCAAGTGAACATGAACCACGAAAAAACCCCATGAGAGTTCGAGTTCCGGTCGAAGCTCCAGGCGAAGACAGAGTGCAGCAACAAGATGAAAAAACAGAGCAAAAGGACGCTAAAAACGAAGAGAAGAAGGGAAAAGAGAATGGGAAGAGGAAGAGGGGGAAGAAGAAGAGAGGGGAATTCGATGGTTGTGAAGGGTACAAGACGTACGTTTTCAGGTACTCAAACAGGTCCATCCAGGGATGGCGATTTAGTCGAAAGCCATGTCGGTGATCAACAGCTATATGAACGACATGTTCGAGAAGCTTACGAGTGAGGCAACTAAACTGTCCATGTACACCGATAGGAAGACATTGTCTTCGAGGGAGATTCAAGGTGCAGTGAGGCTGGTCTTGCCAGGGGAGCTCGGCAAACATGCCGCTGCTGAAGGAAGTAAAGCTGTCACTAATTTTGCTACGTACTATAAAAAACGGTCCAAATTGGCTTAGTTTTAGGGTTAATTAGTTTCTTATAGGATGTTAGGGTTAATGTCTCCTTGTTGTTTGTCCCTTTTGCATTTTGTTTTTGTACTATAATTGGAAGGGGTTTGTGGTTTGTAGCTATGGTTTGTTGTGTTGCTGTCTGGTACATGTCTATTAGTGGACATGTTTTCTATCACTATCATGTAAAATAGGTGTTTTAGTTTGGTTTTTCACTTGAAGTTATTTCAAGCAGCATTATCATGTAATATAGGTGTTTAACAATTATTTTGATATATTAAAAGCAAGAACTTTAATACGATAATTAAATATTTATAGTACAATGATTAATCCTTTACGTGACATACCAATGTTGTGAAATAAAATCCAACATTATGACGACACAAGACATTAACATTTGCCAACCGACAACAGTGACATTAACATTTGTCAACCGACAACAGTTCAACAACTATTCACAAAAAAATTAAAATAGATCGAATACGTTTGCAAATCTCTCTTTTTCACTAAACGGTCAGGGTAGTTGGGCAGGCAGGAGCTTTCAACAACAAAACCAGAAGCACTTTCACCAACGAAAGAAGCTAATCCAAAATGCAGATCCTGACATAACACAAATGGGATCATCGTAACGGGATCAGAAGAAAATGGGGGAAAGGAAAAGAAATTAAGATACCTGAAAGTGATCCTGGATGGAAAGCTGATGAGAGATCTCTATAATTAGTGGTTTTCCTTTTGTTTTCTTATTGGATTGAGTAAGCACGGATGACATCAACTACTGGCGCACGACACATTGGACACTTGGCTCCACGTTTGATCAATTCATTGGCACATTTAAAGCATGAGCACATGTGCCCACATCTGTAATAAAAATATGGTAGATACAGAAATCAAATAGAACAATATTACACCTGACATTTTATATGAAATAAAATTTACCTGTACAGTAATGAATCGATGTTGCCATCGGAGCATATACAACAGATCCCTTTCCTGACACTATCCCAGTTGTGGGAATTCTTGGACAAGCTATTATCATGAATTATCCCTGCGGCGGAATGTCACAGGGATTAATGAACAAACTGGACAAAGATGTTAAACGCATACATTACAGTGCAGACAACATAGATTAGTGCTGCTTGAGGGTTATGAAGGTAGTCAAAGAGAAACAGAGTTGTTTGTGAGAGATTAGCGAGAAAAAGAAGAGGGAATCACTTTCCAGGATAATTCCGAAGGCTCTATTACACAAGTGAGCAGATACAATACGATAGGAATGAAGAAACAAACCTTGTGAACCAGCTGAATGATTCAGGGAGGCAGAGACTTCTTGTCTTATTGCCCGCTGTAACTCGAGCTGCATTTCCATGCAGGCCCCAAGCATCCTCTGCATGCTATTCATCCTTTGCTGCATTCTATCCAAGTCAACCCTCAAATCATTAATGATATCGCACTCCTGCACCAAATTAGCGACATGGTTCGATTAAAATGGAGACTGAACAAATGGTAATCTGACAAACAGGAAGCACGAAGAACAGACGTGTTCACTATACAAGGATAGCAGGATGTAAATTGCAGTTTGGCTACCCAAAGGCAAGAGGAAACAAACTGCTGAAGCTTAATATTAAGTTTTCACCAAGAAGACACGAATGTTAGGAGATCCATTATATTAACAACATCAAGCAACAGTTTTGAATTCAATAAGCAAATAAAAGCAACAGTGCAGTATAAGAAGAAATGTACATACCATGCCAAACCGCTGATGCACACTATCTGGAGCCCAATTATAATGATGGTATGAATCCCGGTCCCAGAGTGGCTGTGTATATGGCATATTGGGTAAAGGAAGAGCAAGTAGAGAAATCTCAGCATCTCTCCGACCCTCATTTCGATCCCTGCTTTGCTGTACTACACCTTGTTCAACCGAAGGAGTAGCAAATGTTTCAGCTCGATGTAATGAATCCTGGTCCCAGAGTGGCAGCATATATGGCATCCTGGGTAAAGGAAGAGCAAGTGGAGAAACCTCAGCATCTCTCTGACCCTCATTTTGATCCCTGCTTTGCTGTTCTACATCTTGTTCAACAGAAGCAGGAGTAGCAGATGTTTCATTTGACTCCAATTCAAAAGAGGGATCATTTTGCCTTTCCACATATGATTGCATGAACTGATCAAGACTCTCACGGAAACCACTACGAAGAAGACTAGACACACTTCTCCTACAATATTAAACATAGCTTGTATTAGAAAAACAACTGGTCAACACTCAGGTCTGAGCATGCATCTAACATGGGTACGTCCGAACATATATCAGGCACAGGTTTCAGATAGAGGTGCTTCAAGAAAATGAAAAGTCAAAGCAACATAAAGCACAACAGTTAAAGAAATCACACCTATTTAACAGTTCCCTCAGTTCCACACTCTGTACATCATCATCATCAGGAAGATAAAATGTATATGTTCTTCTAACAGCTTCAGATTCTTGATTGTAAGACCCTTCCAACTGATTCCTTGTGGCCTCATGCAAGCTGCCATCCTCATTACCACCATCTTCATGGTGCATGTTAGAGGCTTCTTCATTACTACCATCCATCAATACATTATGCTCAACACGCGCTTCTTGCCACTCTGCGATGTTATTTTCGTTATTCTCCTCCTGCTGTCCTTCAACTTGAGAAGCAGATTCCTGCCCATCAATATATTGAACTAGATTCTGTTCTAAATTTTCTCTGTCATCAGGTAACCAGTAGGTCCCACTTCTCTCACCATCTTGGGGAAAATGTACATACGATGCTTCACCACTATGTTCTCTCGCTTCATTCTGTAAAGTTTCAAGGGACGATACATTCGCAATATTTTCTTGCCGGTCCCCATCCAAAATTTGAGAAGCAGATTCCTGCCCGTCAATATATTGAACTAGATTCTGTTCTAAATTTTCTCTGTCATCAGGTAACCAGTAGGTCCCACTTCTCTCACCATCTTGGGGAAAATGTACATAAGATGCTTCACCACTATGTTCTCTCGCTTCATTCTGTAAAGTTTCAAGGGACGATACATTCGCAATATTTTCTTGCCGGTCCCCATCCAAAATTTGATCATTAACATCCCTCCTTTCATCCCGACACTCTTCCACAAGAGTAGAAGCTTCTTGCCGACTTACATCTGCAACAACATCAACCACTAAAGTTTCCTCATTCTCATGTTCAGATTGGTCATTTAATCTATCTATGACTTCATCAGAATTATCTACATAGTTTTGTTCATTTCTATTACCTGTAGTGTCAGTGTTTGATGATGTATCAGAGCATCTACTGCTTGCAGGAACACAACCAAAACTATCCAATCTGGAGCGAAAACCTTCCCTAATACAAAGACAGTTGGCAAAATGTTACAGCCAAAAGGTGAAAATGACATCATATAAATAAAATGAACTAGGAATCGGAAACTTATTATCTAATTCAACTCTGATTATCTTAGTGAACTTCCACCCCCAATAGTTAAAGAAAGCAAAAAAATATACTAAATTTTATTAAACTTAACCCCTGTTGACAGAACATCCTCATATTAGTAGTAATCCATTATAATAGTTAGCAGACCACCCACATGACAACAAAATGTTTGGCCAAAAATAAAGTGCAATATACAATTTATGTAATATTAACTTATCCAGCCAAAATAGTAGTAAAATTAAATGAAGAATGTTTATAAACTCCAAAGATTTTCGAAGTTTCCTGTTCCCTGAATTTGTGAGACTCGCAATCACAGAATGAGAGTGCAAAAGGCCCCAAGTTCAGACCAACTATCACATCTAAATTTGCAGCTTCTGGATATGGTCCGGTGTTTCTAGGTAGATATCTGCTTAATTCCAAATCCATTTTTTATCTTATTACATCTGCGCCTAGGAAATTTTGCTATGTGAATATAGTACTTGAAAAGGGAAGCTTAGTAGACAAGGTTTAGGCATTGCAGGTATCTTAATATAGTAGAACTTTTCATGCAAGAACTTGTACAATAGAATGAAGACTTGACCAAAGCACTAGCATTTGCAATCTTAAACTCTTTATTGTATCACTCAATACAATGAGGGGTAGTAGTATCATGAATTTCCACATTTTTAATTTTACCATAAAGCTTCTTTCTACCAGGCCAGAATCCTACTAAGAATTTTAAGTTTCTTTTTTTTAATGGAAGTGAGTATTTTGAGTTAAATCAATGGAAGAGGCATTATTTTAAGCTTCTGTGAAAACATGCAAACTAAATTTGAGATCTAAATTCAGCTTTGAATTTTCATGAATAGTGAGTGCGGTGAATGTGAAATAATAAGACTAGAAAAAACAACGCTTTGCTTGAGAAGCTGACAGCACAATTTACTATACGGTACAACTTCAGCTTGCTTAGAGTTTTATCTTAAATTAAGTTCCATATAATATAATATGAAAGGATATGATAAAGATGCTTACAGAAAACAATGAAGTACCTTAGACCAGATACGGTCTGTTTTTGTCTTAATAAGCCTAATTCACTGGCTGCTGTGGATGTGCATCGTTCACTTGCAACCCTTTTGTCGTTTCTCAAGAATCTACCTCTCAACAATGACTGCAAAAGAAAATAAAACATGGAAATAAATGAGTTCCAGTAAAACCAGTCCTTGTTAAGTAATGTAAAAATCTAGATGACGGAACAACAGTAGGAACTTCATGCACTTGATAAAGATGCCCAGGCCAAGCTAAACTAAACTATGGTTTACTTCAAACAAGTCACACATATACAGGAACAAAGCCAGGATGAAACTTCAGGGGGGGAAATATAAATAGGAGTAAAATGATGGTCAGAGTCTAATTGTTAAGCCATCAATTTAAAATTAAAAATGGAGGAGTTAGGCTCTAATTTGTTTAATTTGGAAATTGAGAAGGGCCTAAAAAGTATTTAAACCGAAAAACAGTGAACCAAGGCTTAATTTGCCTAGTTTCAAAACTAAGAGGGACCTTAAAAGCAATTGTACCCAAAAAAATGGGGGCTAGGAATAAATTCACCTAGTTTCAAAACTAAGTGGACCTAAAAGCAATTGAATCCAAAAAAATAGGGGGGTCAAGACTTAATTTGTCTCGCTTCAAAAATAGGAGGGACCTAAAAAACAATTAAAACCATTTTTTCCCCTGGGGAAGGGGGTATGGCTCCTCCCATGTTACAAATAACTCATTTAAAAAAATTAACAGCCTATTATAGCAATAACAACAGACAATTAGTAACCTAATTGTTCCGGGTTATAAGTCTATGAAACAGTTAATTTCCAAAACAAACTACAAGCTAATAATAACAGTAATATCAACAACCATAAAAAGATAAAAGCACAAGTAGTTGTTGAGATATACGAGCCAGTTTTTCCAGCTTTGACATGAAATCAAGAAATTCCTTTCTTGGCTCAAAATAATGATACTCTTTTTTTCTTTAATTAAACATCTACTCTGGTTAGTATGATATATGGTCTTTCTCCTTATTTATATGTCATAATTGCAAAGAAGTTACTTTCATAAATGTTTACGGGAAAGCATAAACCAAATTAATACTGTTGTTAGAACATGTATTACACTTAAAAGATTATGTTTTAAGCAACCGGGTCAATTTATGCAACTAACGGTCACATTTCATGAACATTATCACCTTTGTGATTTAGACCAGTCCAACAGCTCTCAAAATCATTCAAGACAATTTCAATTACCTACGAGAATCTATAAGACCAAAATTGCAGACTTGTCATCCACCTTAGAGTGTTTTTTATCATTAAAAAAATTGGAAAAATATGCACCAAATCAAAAGAAATAAAGTCAATAGGCACCACAGAGTAAATGGCAATACTTTTCATTCACATACCTGAATGCGTTTGCGATGGGAAAATTTTGATACAGCCCGAAGTTCCAGCAACCCCTGAACCTCTGTTTGCCTTTCACTCTCAGCCTTTTTAAGCATATCGTTCAGGGCCTGTCGTCCACATAATTTACGAATGCCCCTACTCACACGCTCAGTTTGGTGTTCATTCTGATTAACCACCAATCCACTGAGAACTCGTTCAATGTGGCCGCCAATATCAGCCGCTTGCGCTTCTCTGCTCTGGATACAAGCACCTCTCTGCTGGCTGTTCATTTGCACACACTCCCTTGTAGTTCCGACTCTCTCCTGCTCAGCTTCACCAAGCCATTGGGGCCTTGAACTGTTATTTCTAAGGGAAATAGTAGATGCACGTTCCCTGCCACCATTGTTCATCCACTCCTGAAATATTTGCCTTACCCTTTCCCTTTCAACTTCCCCCAAATCAGATGAACGTTCACAATTAAAATTACTTGAATCTGCATTAGCCTCTGTGACCCAAATCGATCTTGGGACCATTGCCCAAACTCATTCTCGCTCACATTCTCTGAAACAAAAATACATTCACTATTTCGGCTGTCAGAAACAGTTCTTGAGTGGTCACAACTCCTTTGTTGGAGAATTCTTTTGCTACCTCTCTCTTGAGCATTATTCACCACATGCTCATCCTCTAGCTCCCGCCACATCTGAAGGATTGAGGATGGCCGGGTGCTACCATTTTCCTGCCTTCTAGATTGTTGAGACTGAGATTCCATTCTAACAGAATTTTCAAGCACAGAAACATTGTGTAGACCGGCAATAGCCATACTGCTGCAATGTTTAAACTACCAAACCCTTCCACTCATCCACTTCAAATGCATGGGAAAAAAAATCAACATTTGCATCAACACCTAAACATAGAAAATGTCTTCGTCGTCATTTATCAGAGCATTTGCATCAACAAACCGATCAGAATTGCCACCATCATCGCTATCAAACTTCAGATCAAACACGCACGTAAAAACATGTACTAATACAGCCAATCTCTGAAAATTCTGCATCAACAAGTAAGAATCTCAGTTTTTCTTTTCCTAACTTATTTTCATAAATAACTCACTCTTGATATTCATTCAATTTCCTCATTATCATGTTTCACCTAAATAAAATAAGATGATAGAAATAAAGATGTATTGAAATATTTACAACAACCTCCACAAAACATGGTTAGAAACTGCAATCCTAATTATTTTAAATGAATAATCCCTTCTTTGGATGCTGAGAAAATGCAGAAAGACAACAGAGTCTCTCGCCAAATAAACACTCACGCACACAATTAACCTTTCACGTTTCTTCTTTTCCTCAAATCTATCCGCAGCCAAACAAGAAAAATTAACATTGCAAAAACCACATCTAACAGGAAAAAAATAGAGAGAAGGAAACTGAAGAACCGAACAACGAAAAAAAACAATATAATGCACCAATTAAAGAGCAAAGAATGGGAAAAAGTAAAGTACCGAGGAAGCTTGAGCTCTTTGATTCCGAAGGAAACGAAAGCCAAAGAGAGAGAGAAAGAGAAAGAAATGGAGACAAATAGAGCTGAGAGGAGAGCGGGAGAGGTGGGGGAAGAACGAGCCTTTTTGTGAATATCCTTTTTATTTTCTTTTAATTGTTTTCGTTAACGGTTATAAGATCATGCCGTGACACTAACGTCATAAAATTAGGGTTAAGACGAATAGAAGGTTGACAGGTGTGATAATCCTTTTATAGAGGGGCTAATTATGAAAGAATCCAAATCTTAGATTTAACAGGAAGTGTCGAGAATCGACGAGGCGTTTTTTCGTGATTTTGGAATTTCTTTCACTAACCGCTAGTGTTGGTGAGTTGAAATTTCAAAAATAAAGTAGGAAAGGGCAATAAAGGGATTTCAACCTGCGAGGGAGAGCGACGACGACCGGTAATATCGCGGCCTTAACGGCATTCCAAAGACACTAGTTTTCGAAATAGTAGAGAAAAATATAACACTGCATAGAAATTTCAGATTACATTGTTATTTGGCTTATACAAAAATAAGTGATTAAATTTTATCTTGAAAAATATTTTAGTGTCTAACAAAATTTTTTGTTAAAAAATAAGTACATAATATTTTCATCAGAGATTTTTAGGTGTCTAAATCGTAACAATTATTAAATTTACTGTTAAGTGACATATCACATTCTGATAATTTTAAAAAATTATTTAAAAAATATTTTTTTATTAAAAAACCACAATCCGTGTGCATCCCCCTTCCTCCTTTCCATGGTCGCCGATCGACTTATCCGTGACCGTCATTGCCACCTTCACTGGTACCGGCTTCAACCTCCGACCAAATCCCCATTGGTCTTTCGTCATAAAGTGCCACCATTTGTCGTAGAAAAGCATTAAAAATCGTCGAACTTAAGCCACCGTTACTGCTTTTCGTTGATTTCGGTCGATCTCGACGTTCATATACTACAATGTCACCACCATTCAAACCACTGTGTAATTCCGATCAAAATCCAAGTGTTCGGCGACGATGATGGCTGGAAATGATTGACGACAGTTGGTAATAGGGTTAAAATGAAATATTTTAGTTTTTTTAGAGTTTTTTATAATTTAATTAAAATTTTAAGTTTTTTAATAAATAAATTAAGTTTAAGTTTTTTTCAATAATATTTTTATTATTAAAATTTAAAATATATATATATAACGGTAAACACCTAAAAGTGTAACAAAGAAAATGTTAGACAAAATTTTAATAAAAAATTATTTAGGCACCAAAATATTTTCAAGACATTATTTAATCACTTATTTTTATATTAAGCCTTGTTATTTTAGGGTTATGTTTAAAAAATAGTAGTACAAATATTAAATTTAGACAACTTTTCTTTAAAAAATAGGCTAAAATACATAAATGTCTCTGATTATAAGGTGTTGTTTTATTGAATATTCCGACAATTGAAAATTATAAAATGATCATCTGATTGTAAGTCGTTATTTTGTTCAGTCTCCTGACTATTAAAAGTTACAAAATAATAATCCGACTATTCGTATGTTTAAAGCTTATCCTTTTCGGTTAGAAAATTAGTGATCTCTGAGTTTGACGTTAACCTGCTCATCGGGATATGATAAAAATATTGATCTCAAAATTATTTAAGTTGTATTTTGTAGATCGAGTCTCTGCTTACATTATGTCCTCAAGTTAATGCTTAAAATATTATATTGTCAAGTCAATACTTGAAAACAACGACAATGCTAGTAGACACCATTAAAATATGATTTTTATGATATCACAGTTAGTAATTAACGTCCAGTTCAAATAATTGTCATTTTTTAACAGAAAATGATGAGCTTGAAATATATGAATAGTCGACTAATCATTTTGTAGTTTTTAATATCGATGAATTCAACAAAGCAACACCCTATAGTCTAGGTACCAATTGCGTACTTTACCCCAAAAATGTAAGAGTTATCTTTAGTGACAAAGCTGACAAAATAAAATAAGTTTAAAATACATCACACCCCTTTACAATTTCTTTTGCTGGTTCAAAATTCGGAGATGGCTTTGCTAATAAGCAAAGTAATTATTACTAAATTCCCTATAATTCTAATATTTCAACTATTAATTAAAGCATCCCTTTTCCTTGTTTAAGTTTGGTTGATGATTGTTCATAAACATTGATTAAAACTAGTATATTTATTATAAAGGTAAACTATTTTTATATTCATTAAATTATATGGAATGTTATATTTAGATCACTTAACTATAAATTTTATTAGTCGAGTCACTGAATTATTTAAATTATATTAATCAAGTCATTATCATTAAAAGATTAACAATATAACTATAAGTAATGTCGATGTAGATGCATAAATTTTATATAAGAATGATATTAGATATATGAATTTTATATAAAGACGGTATTGAAAAGCCACAAACCTCTTTTAATTACTTTGAAATAATAATTCGAGTAATTTTCTTAATCAATCGGGATAAAATTAGTAAATGATTTAGAGATTCTGAGAGAGATTTCCACACCGATTAATACATTGGTTTTTACTATAAGAAAGAAAAACAATTTCCACTCCATTGAAAATGGCAACATTAGAAAAAAGAAGGGAAAAAACAACCCCTAAAGTTCTACATCACATGGTACGTTCTCAAAATGTTTGGACCAAGACAGATGCAATGTCGCCGGGGAACACACGATCTTCATAGTACGATGTTTCGACTTCCATATACCTACCTTAAACCGAATCCTCGACTTGAAATGAACATCGACTTCGATCTCCCCCGACGATTTTTCATGCCTGAGGTCCTTATACGTTGAAGGTGACAGTGCCAAATTCGTAGCCACGAGTCTCGATTCCACCCGAGTCGTGTCCCGGTGAGGCTGAAAGAAAGGATGGGTCGTCCCGAATGCGAGAGTTTGGTCCTTGAACGACACGGCGGACTCCATGAAGTCATAGTAGACGGAGGTTCTGGTATTGGGATTATAAGCCATGAGCACGAAATCGAATGTGGCATTGAGATGGTGGTTATTATTGTTGAGGTTGAAATTTTGGAGTGAGCCGTTTTCGAGGGTGTAAACCAACTTTTTGGGCCTAATGGCTAGCCAAGTGATGAGCACGGCTAGACCGACAAGAACAATAAGGGCTAGACAGCAAATGGCGACACATCTTACTAGGTTAAAATGCCTACCTGGCTGTTGAGGAGCTGGTAATGTATTATTAGCCATTTTTTTTTCTCTGAACTGAGAATGTCGGACGGTGTTTTTATACAGGGTAAAAAGTGGGCGAATATTTTGCCTGATGAACTTGTATATATGGACAAAGACGAGAGAATTTCAGTTTTCTTAGTTGTTTGGTTTCTTTAGTGATTCCCTCTTCAAGGTTTCTTGAATGAAACTCAAGACATCTTAAAGATTCATGTTCTGTTCTTTTCTTCTGGTTCAGTGTTGCAAGATTCATTGCTAAAACTCACTCCAAATCCTTTTTTTTCTCTCCTTTTGCTCTGTTTAGACTTCGGGCCAACAATGAAGCGGAAGAATATGCTAATTTTTTATTATTATTTATAAAGTGTCAATTTGATTTCAAATGCAATTCTTAACTGGCTGTGCTTGTAGCAGTTACTGAATATAGTTCCAAAAAGCAAAAAAGAAAATCAAATTGCTGATCTGGAGAAGCTTCTGAGTTCTGTGTCTAAGATCAATGGAGATATAGTTTTGAATCCAAATCATCAAATCAAATTGAAAATGAAATATGTTACTATTTTAGTCGAATAGAGACTTTCTACAGTTAGAATTAACCGACAATCACTCTATTCATAAAAAAAATAAAATTTATAGGGCAATTGTTAATTTAAAATTTGAAGTATTTTTAGAGAATAAGATTCTAACATATCGCATCAACAATTAGGATATGTTTGTTTCACTAAAAACGATTTTCGGAAAATGTTTTCCGTAAAATGAATTACATCTTCTGAAAAACATTTTCTGAAAAACGTTTTACTATGTTTGGAAGATGTTGTTTAAATCATTTTTCCACTAATTGATGAATTTTTTAAAAATTATTTATTACAAATATTAAATACAATAAATAATATTATTTATCATAAAACTTAATATTATTATTTTTAAAATATTAAAATAATTTATTTATTATTAAAATATTATTTTTATAATTTTATTAATAAAATATTAATATTGGTATATTTTATTGAAATTAAAATATTATAAATTATATTAATTATTTATTAAAGTAATAGTGTTATATTATATTTTAAAAATATTAATTAGTATATTTTAAATATCTTTATTAAAATATTATTAGATTATTAGATTAATATTTAATATATAAATAATATTATAATAATATTATTTCTGTGAAATTAATATATAATATAAATTTTATTAATAATTTATTATATATTATTAAAATAAAAATATAATATAATATCTTATTTTATTATAATATAATTGATTATTTTATTATAATATTAGAAATATAATATTATATTATTAAAATATTAATAAATATATTTTAAATAATTTAATAATTAATATTTTGATTAAAATGATATTAAAATATTTTATTAATATTAAATTCATAAAATAAAATTATTTTGAGTATTTATTTTTGAAGTGAAAAGTTTGGAAAATGACTTACGGAAAATCATAACGTAAGCTATTTTCTAGAAAACACAAAGGAAATTCTAATAACCAGGAAAATGTTTTACGTTGACCAACCAGTTTTCCTCCAACCAAACATTGAAAAATGAGGAAAACATTTTTCGAAAAACGTTTTACGTGAAACAAACAACTTATTATTAAAAACTCAAAAAACAAAATATTTCCTACCAATTATGTACATTGGCATTGGAATCAAAGAAAGGTAGATCAAAATCTAGTATTAATTTGTTATCCAAAATTGTACTTGGCGACATCAATTGGATAGAACTTTCTATGCCCTTCCTCTTGCAATAACAATGAAAAACAATATATATGCTGCTTTAGCTAAAGCACTAATGGAGGCAAAGTAAATATCCAAACATCGAAGCAAAGTATTTTTTCGGAGGCAAAGCATGTTATCAGCATCTACACACGCGCTTGACGAGCTCATCCAGTGGTGTAAGCAAGATGAATGAGATTGAAAGATGCGTGTAGCGCGTGGGATGGTTTCAAACTTTCATGCATTGTGTTACTTTAGTGATAATTTAGATTTTAGATAAAATATGCAAAATAATTAAGTTGTAAGGAAAAACAGGGGGAAATGTGAAGTTGTGCCATCCAACGATGAACAATGCAGTGAGTGATCGCATATCCCTTTTGTTGATTGATAAAGTGAAAGTGGATAATTTATGTAATACCCCAAACATCGGGTCAGTGACTAAAGTGTAAGAATTGAAAAGTTCAAATATTGATTTGGAAATTTTTGTCTAGGACTTATTATCAAAGATGAAAAATTGGAAGGACATAATGGTATTTTAGCATGAAAGGAATTTAAAATTCATTTCTTAAGACTATACAACATGCTATAAAAAGGAAGAAAGAAAGAAAGGAAAAATTTGGAAGCTCTTCTCTTCTCTTCTTCCCACCGTGAAGCTCCATAGATTAGGTGAGATGATTTAAAGTTGATTGTTTCTTGAAATTTTGATTTGGTTTTGGTTTTTTGGGTGATATAGAAGCTTAATAAAGTTTAAAAATTACTTGAAATTAAGAGATTAAGGATTTGATGATCATTTAGTAAAATGAGTTTTTAAGGGAATTATTGAAAAATGATTAATATTTGGATTCTAAAGGAATATTTGACTTGGTAAGGGTTTGAATAAGATGTTAGAAGTGTTAGAAAGGATTAAGAACATGTTTGAAGAATTGGTATGATTTTTAGTTTCAAGAGTTCTATGGAAGATTGTAGATGTTAAAGTGATTTTAATGGATATAAGTTAGTGGGAATAAGTGTAAATGAGTTTGACGGCATGAATAGAGTTAAGGGTAAGAGATTTAAGTGAAATTTGGGTAAAGTTAGAAGTGAAATGGGTGAATTCTAGGCAAAGGTATCGGTACTGGAAGAATAGTAACACTATAAGGTTAAATTGAAGAAAAATACTATAATCCGATGAACAATATCGATACTGATTGAAGTAGTATCGATACTAATGTGATGGTATCGATACCAAGAGTAAGATATCGATACTGTAATTGAAAATGAATTCCAGAATGCCAAAATGGTATCAGTACTTAAGTAAGTATCGGTACCATAGAAGCGAAATATTGGTACTGTGGGTAGATGACTGGTATTATTCAGTCATAAATGTTAAATTAGGTGTTTCATTTCGTTTAAGTAAAGGTTAATTGGTTAGATGTTAATTGAGCTCTGATATTCATATTGGTCATGTAATATGTGGATTCAATCGAAAACAAATGCTGAACGAAGTGACGTATAAAGTTGGGGAGTTAAAGTGAAAAAGAGTTGCTTAAGGCTTAATTGAGACAAAGGTGAGTGCATTTTTCTATACTTATATATAATAAGAGAAAGACTCGCAATGAGTCAACCTCGAATGTTTTGAAAGAAAAGGTTTTTGAATTTTATTATGAAACACTTTTATCATGCTTTTGTAAATAAATTTTGAATAATTTGGCTTGTGAAGAGCCAATTTTGAAAGTTTGATAATGAAAATTATTTGATTTATGTTATGATATTTTTCAAAAAGTTTAATGTATTCGTAATTATGAACTATGAGTATATGATATATGTGATTAAATGAAAATGTTGAATAAATGTTGTGTGAAATGAAATACTATGAGACTAAGTTCTATGTGAATGAATGATAAACTTGGATAATACTACGTGAAAATGTCTATGTGAATATGTGCTAAGTGACTGTAGTCTATGTGAATAACAGATACTTGAATAATAAATGTGAAATAATTATATAGAATAAGTCCAAAGTATATTTTATGAGAATTAGGGGTATAGTTGGCATGCCAATAGTCGAGGGTTCTAAGCGGCCCTTCGGGACAAATTCTACATGGTCCTTCGGGACAAATTTTTACCCGATCCTTCGGGATAAATCTATGCGGCACTTCGGTGCATATTCTACGTGGCACTTCGGTGCAAATTATATGAACAGTGGTGACTGCAGTTAGTGCACAACCTCAATGTACTAAGATACCTTGAGATCTCAGTAATATACGTTGGGCTAATAAAACAAATTGATATAAAATGAATAATGTATAACAGTATAAGATATTTACATGAAATATATTGATTTCCATATGAAATGTTTTCTCTGAAATGTATATGGTTTTTAATTGTTTCCAATAAATGTTTAAATAATTTTTTTTTACTCATTATGCCTCACTAAGTCATAGACTTAGCGTGTGATTGTTTTCACATGCAGGTTCAAAGAGATTCGAGGAGTAAGTCGAATAAGCAAGGGCAGGACATCATACCTGTGAAGATTATCAGATCAACTAAATTTGAATTGTATATGTTTTTGTTATTTTGAAATGTTGTTGGCATGTACTAATAATGTTTTTAAATTGTAGATGCTCTGATATGTTATTAAGTTTTCGTTTTTCTTTGTCAAATAAAAGTAAAAAGTCAAATTTTAGTCAAATTTTCAAAGTTTTCAAGCGTTAAAAAATCAATGTGACATCTCAGATTCGTATTCGGGTGGGGATGTTACAGTTTACTATAGAGAGATACATGATTAAGATGAAAGATTATAGTATGGTAAGGGTTGGAAAGAAGAAAGTATCTTAATCAAAGAATCCAGGAGAAAAAGGAGAAAACACACTTCCGTTAGGGAAGGAGGGAAAAAATCTCCTTTTGTCCCTAGAATAATACCCTATAACGTAAGAGTGTAAACGAATAAGATGAACTCATTTAAATTTTTAATATTTTGATTGTTTTTGTTTATTTATTTTTTAAGGTGTTTATATTTAGTTCATTTAATATTCCTGAATATATTAATTTAACGTTTATGAACATGTTTTTTAACATCCATTTAATGTTTGGTAACCAACATTATATTTTTATCCTTTTATTTACAAATCAAAGAAAAATTGTGAAATTATACCACTAGTCCTTAAACTCCTTAAACTTCACAGTTTGAACTTTAAAGTTTATTATGTATTTAATTTATTCCTTACTTTAACCAATATTTAAAATGTAAAAAAATAAAAAGAAAAGAAGAACGAGTAAACGAGTTTGTTTGTAAACATAAATGAACCAAACACACCTCTAATTATGTTCGTTCGTTTATTAAATAAACATAAAAACTGTGTATTAATTTATTTAGCTTCATAAATTAACATAAACGAGCGCTATATGAACTGCTCATGAATTGTTCATCTAATTTTCTATTTATTTACACCCCTACATATAAGTAAGATGTGTACGATATTTTTTTATGCGAGATTATGTGGGTTTCGCCACTTTATATTGATTAAATTTAACACATTCTTAGGCCTTTAAACTTTTTTTTAAATAATGTGGCATCTACATTTATTTTACATTCAATGTCGTCTTTCAATTGAGAAAAAAATTATTGTGATAATTTAACTAAAAAACTATCGGTCTTTATAATATTGGCGTAACAATTAACGAATTTTTATTGTTACTCATTTATTTTGAATATTTATTTTGTCAACTTACAAATGTGTTGATACTATAGTTATATGTTATGATGAGTCAGCATCATCAGTTTTAATCATGGATGGGAATATAAGAAAACTTTGTGCATTTACTGTATATTTCTATAAACATAAATGTTTTATTTGCATGCATTACTTTGTTTACAGTTTTCAACACATTTACACATCAAATGGAGTATCTTTCCATGAACTGTCGATATCCTCAGTAAAAATAAGTTAGTATTTATTTAAATATTATTAATTATTTTACAATAAATATTTATATTTTTGTATATATAATGTTCAAACCTAAAATTTATAAAAATAAAAATAAATCGTTGATTCACTTCGTTCATAAAGTATTTGTTTTTGGCCATCTTGTTCAGCTTGTACGGCATACTTGTTTTCGTTACCGCAGTTAAAGAGCAAATTACAACCCAACTCATGAATGTTTTTATAACCATATTTTGCCATTGACTGATGAGTCAAAGAGCAAATTAATTTCACCTCAAATAAAATTTATTTTTATATTGTCTTGGCCAAACAATTATTGTCTATGATTCATACACAATTTATAATAATTCAATTAATATTTTTATTAAGTTTACAATGAAAACACATTATAATTTTCAATTATTTTTATCATTTAAATATTTAAAAATGCATTAATTAATTATACCTTGAGAAAAATAGCATGCCATAATTTTGATTTATTATTTAAAGTTTTATTGTTTAATTAATAAGATTATTTTTTATTATTTAAAGTTCTCTCCCTCGCCACGCACACCCACACCCACACCCACCCACACCCACACCCACACGCTTCGTCTCTCCGCTTCCCCTCTAGGTACGCGCCGCTACAGTTTTTTTTCACTATTATTTATTGTGTTTTTGTTTCTTAAATGTAATATGTTCGCTTTCTTCAAAAGCTTATAAGATATTGCTTAATCTTTGCTGCAATCGAACTTTTTACTCAAAATCAGTGAAATTCTTTCAGCAAAATCAAAAAATGGGTCAGATTCAGTACTCTGATAAATACTTCGATGATACTTACGAGTACAGGTAAATTTTAATTCTCTTGTTCTGAATTTTTATCACTTAATCTGTTCCTTTTTTTTTCAAGATGGGTTTAACATTTTTTATGAATTAATCAATCTTCTTTGATCTTTTTTGGTGGCGGTGACCGGGCAGGCATGTTGTTCTTCCTCCTGAAGTGGCCAAACTTCTACCAAAGAATCGCCTCCTCTCTGAAGTATGTTTTTTTAGGGTTTTACACAAATGCCTTTTTTTTATTTGTATTTTGTTTCATTCTTCAAAACTGATCCCAGTGTTCATGTAATTCTGATAAGGTTTTATTATTAATGTTTTGTTTTGTTTTGTTGGTTGTTCAGTGAGGCAAATTATTGGTGTTCATAACCATAATTTCAAGTTCTGAGTTTGATTTATAACCATCGATAAGATAAGAAGTGAAAAAAACTGGCCTTCCTTATAGTAACTCGTTCTGGGCATGCATTTTAAGTGTCTTGCCAATTTCTTTCTACAAACCATGATGGTTTGTAATTGTTCATATGCTTTCCTAGATGAAGAATTCCTGATTTATTGGTTTTGTGATCCATATGGTACCCGATATTTTTGCACCACTTAATTACTTTTGAATGTATGATGGTTTTCAATGCCGAGTATGTTTTTTATATATGTTGCTGCTCATGCTATTTCCTTTGTTGTCGGAGCTGACTATTCTGAAGATATCATGCCCATTAATTTATGAGTTTTCGAGTGTTTGAAGTAGCTTGTGTGATTTAGTTTCTATCGGTTTCTTTTGCAGAATGAATGGCGTGCTATCGGGGTGCAACAGAGTCGTGGTTGGGTCCATTATGCTATTCATCGCCCTGAACCTCACATCATGCTGTTCAGGAGGCCTCTCAACTATCAGCAGCAGCAGGAGAATCAGGCTCAGCAAAATGTGCTTGCCAAGTAATGATAGTAGCGTTTAGTAATCAATAACCAGAAAAAATGGATGGAAACAAAATAGTTATCTAGTGTTTGTGATCTGCATAAATGTTTTGTATGTTCTGGAATCACTGGTAGTTATTGTGATTCTCTACTGTGGTAGAAATTGGTGTTAGGTTTTTTACTCTCTACTTGGATGTTGATGGCATAATGGCATGGCTACTGCTAGTATCTTGGATGTTTGATGGTTTGCATCTGGTTTATTGCCTAGATGGTGTGATGAAATTCTTCTTGAACCAATTGATTTAACCCTTTCTTTTTTCTACTTAAATAGTTATGATTACTGCTTGCTCAAGTGATCATCATGCTTTTAACATTTGAAGACAAATTGTTTGGATTTTCCGGGTTTCCTTGTGCTATGGTAATTCTATGCTGAGGGTTGGTTTTCTTCCCATGTTGACTAAATGACTAAATCTTTCCACACATTAAAGAGAAATAACACGCACAGAAAGAGAATTAGCTTCTTTTATTAAAAAAAGAAGAAATATCCAAAACTACAGTTAAGGTATACAAACATAAATGTAAATTGAACACATAATTAGGACATTTCTTATAACTATTAACACGAGAAACTAGTCACTTGAATCATACAACGATCATCAAGGAAAAGGTTAAATAATCTAAAAAGCTTGAACAAAATATAGATATAAGCAAATCTGGTTGCATCGATAAAAAAATCGTAACAAAGGATCAAACATTTCGAAGTCAATTGTTTGTTCATCAGTTGCAGTTCAATCCTCAACAGCCAACCAAACAACGAAATCAATTACACAGATGAAAACTATAGGTAAACGAAATCAATTGATAGTTTATCCCATGGCATTAGATCCAGTTTCCCCCATTATCTCCATTATCCGTTGATGCACAAATTAGCTTCTTCAACCTTTATAATTAACTATTAATTATTTGGACAATCCTAATTTTTGGATTCAAATCCAAACCAAATTAATTAATTTGAACTATTTATTCGATTAAAATATGGTACAACTCAAATAACACAAATTATTTAGTACAGAAAGTAAAAAATTGTTCAATAATTTTCAAACTGAGTCCGATTTTACTTTGACTTTTGGGTTAAGATCAGTGGACCTTGGTCCAGCCCATTTTGTATCAGCCTCAGATATGACTGTCTTCTGCAACACATACAATGCTCTACAGTTTTTACAAGAGCCTCAGAATTCATCAAATTGCTCTTTTTCCTTTTCAGTCGAATTGAGGGCGGCATAACTTTCCGATTAATTTCTTTAAGGTAACGAATTCCAGATTCTATAACCATTCTCTCGTACGTGTTTCTCATTTCTGATTTAACTTCATCATTAGAAAGCAATCATTTTCCCACATGGGACTAGGATTTCTTTGAATTGGTGTTTCTTTTGTTTCAAAATTTACATTTAGAAAACCGAGAGAAGCAAGTGGAACTAAAGGTCTTGGATGCATTGTGATTGAAATCTCCGACTTTTGGGTCTATTTAGGTTATCCCAATTTGCAATTATGAAAGGGTGGTATTGAATTCTGGGAATTATGGTGTACATAGTTGCTGAGGCCACTTGTCTTGAACTCTTTATCATACACGAGCCTCCTTGAACTGAGAATCGAGAGTTCCGGGGCATGTTGGTTTTGATCATTTGTAAGAATCCATTGCTGACTGGAAAGTTTTGTGCTTTACTTTCCTGTTGGTGGTAGGTAAGTGTGGAAATTGCTCTTGAGATCGAACTTGGCAATTCTAGATCTCTTTTCGACCCTCATTTTCTGGTGGTTCGAGCTATAATCTATAATTCAAGAATATTGTTTTCGTTTATTTACTATATAGAATGTATGAATTAACATGTAGAATTTCGTATTGGTATTGGAAATGTCAATAAGTTGTTTAACATGTTGTAGGTCTCCCTCTTGTTGAAGTTGGTTTAGAATCACAATGTCCCGAGCACGGAATGTGTCCCGAGCACGGAATGTCATGGTTGCTTCTGGGTTACTAGCTTTTGGGTCTATTTAGGTTATCCCAATTTGCAATTATGAAAGGGTGGTATTGAATTCTGGGAATTATGGTGTACATAGTTGCTGAGGCCACTTGTCTTGAACTCTTTATCATACACGAGCCTCCTTGAACTGAGAATCGAGAGTTCCGGGGCATGTTGGTTTTGATCATTTGTAAGAATCCATTGCTGACTGGAAAGTTTTGTGCTTTACTTTCCTGTTGGTGGTAGGTAAGTGTGGAAATTGCTCTTGAGATCGAACTTGGCAATTCTAGATCTCTTTTCGACCCTCATTTTCTGGTGGTTCGAGCTATAATCTATAATTCAAGAATATTGTTTTCGTTTATTTACTATATAGAATGTATGAATTAACATGTAGAATTTCGTATTGGTATTGGAAATGTCAATAAGTTGTTTAACATGTTGTAGGTCTCCCTCTTGTTGAAGTTGGTTTAGAATCACAATGTCCCGAGCACGGAATGTGTCCCGAGCACGGAATGTCATGGTTGCTTCTGGGTTACTAGCTTTTGCCTCTGCAGGCTTAGCGTTCCCATTTTATATGGCGTAAGTGTAATTCTTTCTCAACAGCAATGCGTCGTTGAGAGCTATATAGTTATCAACTTGCTAAAATTGAATAATGATTTGTATCGTCCAGGACATCTAGGAAACCTGTGGATTCATCTAAGCCACTTCCTCCGCAGGCCACTTTTCGAGGGCCTTACATAAACACCGGTTCACGTGACGTCGGGCCTGATCACCAAACTCACCCGAAGAAATGATCCTTTTGTGTTGAATCAACTCCTGTTAGCTGTAAGTTAACGCATGCTCCTTTGTGTGCTACGTGAATTGGCAATGTGTATGAAATTATACTATTGGGTGCATATGTGGAGGCTGACGTAGGAATTTACGTTGCTTCCTGCAGCGGGATGAGTGTGAGCATGAAAAATTTTATATTGTACAAAATCAGATATGAGAAAAAATGTTGTGCTTTCTCGGTGGAAATCGAGGGCATAACATGAAAAGGAAAAGAGCTGAGGGTAATACTTCGTTTTGCTTTTATACTTGTCAATTTCTACTTTGTTTGTGTTCGATATGTTATGGCCGCGACTTGTTCATGATAGTATGTTCTCATCTAGTTGATTTGGCTATAAAAACTTTCTTCTAAGTTTCTTTATTAAGCCTAAGATTTGATAATTTATTGCCTTCTGGTTGGTTGCCTGTACTTCTTGCATCTTTATACAGGGTGGGAGTGGCCATGGCCCCAATTTTTTAAGTTTATGCTAAAACTTAAAGAATTGAGGTTAGTGAAATTTTTTATTTTCTCATTTATACAATGGGTAAACTACACTAGTGGTCTGTTATGTTTTTAGTCCGTTCAATTTTAGTTACCGATTCAATAAAAGATCGATTATGGTTTATACACTATCAATTTAATATATTTTGGTCTCTTAGTCGTTTTGTCGGATGTCTAAATTGGTATCTAAAAGTAAAATAAAAACTAAGGGACCACACATCAGACCTTAAAATTGCACTTTATATATATATATATATGGAAATGATCGACTTATATCTAGTGTAAAACTTTTAGTTTTATACCTTTTTAGGATAGTTGGATGAGGAAAAATCGAAAACTGAGATTAAAAATAAGAAATGTAAAAATATTCACTAAAAACAAGAAATTAAACTCAACCTTTGCTTGCCTCTCATAGAAGAAGAATAAGAACTTTAATCCAATAATCTAAATAAAAAATCTAAAAAGATATATTTTATAAAACATGATTTTTTTTACCGATCATATCACGTAAAGCGAAAACATATTATATAAAACGTGTTTTTTTTTAAAAAATATATATATTTTACAAGACACTTTCGTTTTAATATTTTCTTTTTTATATATAATTTTTAGAAAGAATTATAATCTTAAACCAATTTCTTTATATATTTGAATAATAAAAATCAATCTAGCAAAACAAAAGTTTGCGTGTGTAATCATACCAGCTAGAATTGCCACGTTGCGTGTGAATACAAGCATAGTTTCGTATTGTCTTTTTTGATTTTCCTGGTCGCTAACACGAGTTCAATGCTTCCACTCAAGCTTTGTTTTTTCCATTCATCTTTGATTTTTCTTTCAAGTTTTAATTCTCTTCCAAAAAGAACCAAAGAAATCAGATAATATTAAATTAAAAAATGGCAGGGTTTCTTCTAGCTACCATCCCTACATCCAATTTGGCTACTCCTTTTACAACATCTTCGGGAAGCAAAACCCATCCTTTTTTATATCCAATGAAGAACCTTGCTTCCACAAGATTCCCTAATCTTACACCTCTACACGTGGCAACCTCTCCATCATCAGCAGCAGAAGGAAATTTAGATCAGAAACACGAAGAGTTTAGTGTAAGAGATGAATTCGGTGAAGAGAGTTCAGAGTCTAAGTTCTCATGGAAAGATCATTGGTACCCGGTTTCCTTGGTTGAAGATCTGGACCCATCTTTACCCACACCGTTTCAGCTTCTGGGTCTTGACTTGGTGCTTTGGTTCGACAGAGGAAGCAATCAGTGGGTTGCCTTTGATGATAAATGCCCCCACAGGCTTGCTCCTTTGTCAGTAAGTTTCGCAATTCTCTGTTTTCTATTTTCTCCAGATCCTATTTGCTGCTTTGGGTGTCTTGAATTTGGCTATTTGTAATTTTGTATCAGCTGCTAATTGAGAATTTTCTGGGTTTCTCTGAGTTTTATAGGAAGGGCGGATAGATGAAAATGGGCACTTGCAATGTTCATATCACGGATGGTCTTTTGCTGGATGTGGATCTTGCACTAGGATTCCTCAGGCTGCGTCTCAAGGTCCCGAAGCTCGTGCGAATCGATCTCCGAGAGCATGTGCCACTAGGTTTCCTACAATGGTGTCTCAAGGCTTGCTTTTTGTTTGGCCTGATGAGAATGGACAGGAAAGAGCTGGTGCTACCAAGCCCCCCATGTCAGTCATTTGCTTCTAGTTTTGTTATCTGTTATCATACCAGATTGTCTAGGTGAATGTCTTGAAACATCATTGTTGTATGTGTTTTTAGGTTGCCTGATGACTTTAACAAACCCGAATTCGCAACTGTGAACATTCAACGTGATCTGTTCTATGGTTACGATACCCTCATGGAGAACGTCTCCGATCCTTCCCACATTGATTTTGCTCATCACAAGGTGCTTTTACTAAACTTCATAGGATTGTAATAGAAGCTCCATTATGGTATGGTTGAAAGATACATCACTTCCTAGTGAAACAATTGTTGTTTATGGTACATGGTTCTTTAGGTACTGTTAGGCATTTTCATTTCTCTGTAATTGTTTGGCAATGTGGCTCTTTAGGGGTTGTAATGTTGTTTTATTCCCGGGCAACTTTTGTTCTCCGTTCAACACAGGTTACTGGGAGGAGAGACAGAGCGAAGCCTTTGCCGTTTAAGGTGGAGTCTAGTGGCCCTTGGGGATTTGGTGGATCAAATGAGGGTAACCCAAAGATCAGTGCCAAGTTTGTTGCACCTTGCTATTATATGAATAAGTAAGTTCACTGACCTTATTTAAAGTTTGAATTTTTAATGCTTTTTTAGAATAGTTTCTCTTATGTTTTACCTAAAAGTTTCAGGAAATTTGATATTTGGATATCGGTGTATAACTTATAGCAAATACCATGGACCCACTGAAACTTAAGTAAAGCCGAATGCATCAAAGATTATTGACAAGAGCTTGCCTTTCAATTTTTAACTGTTTACTTCTATTGTTCTTTTCTCTTCCGATTCACATCTTTCATGCGCATAATCAATGTTTTTTTGCTATGATGACAAGGTTCCTTTGCCATAGACTGCAACTTATTCGAGGCCTTATAGTCTCTTGTAGTATTGTTCTTTAAGTTTTGCAGTTCTTTCAAATTTATCGTACTTTTGCTATCTTACCCTGCAGAATAGAGATAGACACAAAGCTTCCAATAGTTGGTGAGCAGAAATGGAAAATATGGATATGTTCATTCAATGTACCCATGGCTCCAGGGAAGACACGATCGATCGTTTGCAGTGCACGAAACTTCTTCCAGTTTTCCGTGCCTGGGCCTGCCTCGTGGCAGGTGAGCACTATTTCATTTTGCTTCTTGTACATGTGTTTGTTGGTTTGTATTCAATGTTCCAGTTATACAGGGATACTAAACTGAAATATGGAACCTGAGGATTGTTTCATCTGTCGGCTTGCTTTAGCTGGCATGTAGGTTCCTAATTAGAGTTTTCCTATGCTTCATTTCTGCATAAACTGTTGTCACTCATTCGGGGCTTCTCGTGTCAGATTGTCCCTAGATGGTTCGAACACTGGACATCAAACAAAGTTTATGATGGAGATATGATTGTACTTCAAGGCCAAGAAAAAATATTTCTTTCAAAATCAATGGAGAGTTCCAAGGACATCAATCAGGAGTACACAAAGCTCACATTTACACCCACACAAGCCGATCGATTCGTCTTGGAATTTCGGAAATGGCTAAGGCGACATGGAAACAGTCAACCGGAATGGCTCAACACCACCATCCAACAACCTCTCCCGTCAATAGTGTTATCAAAACGCCAGGTATTGCCAAACTCATAAATTCACTGATATACAAACACCAGAGCATGGTCTTAAAAACATTTTCATAATCATTTGTAGATGATGGATAGATTCGAGCAACACACACTCAAGTGTTCATCATGCAAACAGGCTTACACGTCATTCCAAACATGGCAAAAGATCTTAATCGGTACAACAGTTGCATTATGCGCTTCAGCCGGCATCCCATCTGATTTCCAGCTCCGGGTTGTTTTAGCAGCGCTTGCAGTTGTTTCGGCTGGTTTGGCATTTGCATTGCATCAACTCGAGAAGAACTTCGTTTTTGTTGATTATGTACATGCTGAAATAGATTGAAGCAAGTTTGAAACCAAAACATTGAGAAATTTCCGGTGTATGTACAACATATTTAGAAAGGTCTAATTACAGATTGAATCCTTCTGCATTGATATCTGAAATTTCCTTTCACTGCAAATTAAGTCTTAGGCTAAGGCGTAATTTTTTCATTATTAAACATAATTAACTGGATCTTTATGTGATTAAATAACAGTAAAAGATCAATTAAGATAAATAACAAAGATCTAACCAATTCACAAGATAATTAATTTTCCATTGAAGTTCTGCGAACTACAAAAAGAACCACAAGAAAACATCCTGTAAATCTATTGATTCTTACAACAAAAAACCCTTGTTTTCATTTTTAAGATAATTTGAAACTAAGAACTGGTGAACTTAGTAACAGCCTTAGTCCCTTCCGACACGGCGTGCTTGGCCAACTCCCCAGGCAAAACCAATCTGACGGCGGTCTGAATCTCACGGGATGTAATGGTGGGCTTCTTGTTGTAACGCGCGAGCCTGGAAGATTCTTGAGCAAGCTTCTCGAAAATGTCGTTGATGAAGCTGTTCATGATACCCATTGCCTTACTGGAAATACCAATATCTGGGTGGACTTGCTTTAGGACCTTGAAGATGTAGATCTTGTAGGTTTCTACGCTCTTCTTGGCTTTCTTCTTCTTCTTTTCGCCGGCTTCTTTGGGCAGCTTCTTCTCGGCTCTTGGCTTCTTCTCAGCTGGGGCCTTCTCGGCTGGCTTTTTCTCAGCTGGCTTCTTCTCGGCTTTTGGGGCCATTGCAAATTTTGATTTCAAAGCGGGAACAAAGATTTGTTAATACTGAAACTTGTGATGAAGGGAAACTGTATGTGAAAAGATATATATAGGGGAGGCGGGTGTAATTTTATTGGCTGGTTTTGGTATGCATGGATCAATGACGTGGAACGTTTTGGCCGTTGATTTTGAGTGGATCGCTCCTTGCTCGTATTTTTTTTTATGTTTTAAGGATTATTTTAGAGCGGAATTTTTTTTTGAATCTTTGTGTTTCGCGGGCCATCAAACTGTGGGCAGTAGTTTTATTTGTTCACGTGCGTTTAAATACTACCAATTCAGTTTAAATTTTATTTACGTCCGATGGGGATACATTTAAATTTATAAATCATATTTTATATATAAGTGGATATTGAATATATATATATATATGTTAATTTATGATACGTTTTAATATTATCAATTTATCAATGAGGTCGAATTTGAATAATATAAATTTAAATTTATTAATATAAATTATTTTTTAATTTGATTACTCGTATTCAATTTATTAATCAATTAATTCAAATTAAGTATTGCAAAAATATTATTATAGGGATGATCCTCTAACCTAGTTTGTTTTATTCATAACGTCAATACTGAAATTTTTGATCATATTTAAATAATCTAATGTATTATACTACTAGATCAATTGATTGTTGATATTATCATATATTACTTGATATCAAATATAATTGATAATTTGTAAAGATTAAAAAAACTAATCATCACCATATTAAATAATTAATTTCATATTATTCGGATTTATATTGAGTAATATATTTTTCTTTGATGATCTATATTTTAATAATACTATTTACAACATGTGTGTGTGATTTTGTTGGGATTTCGATGAAGCTCAATTGAACAACCGAATAATGTGCCAAGAGGGGTTGAAGTGGATTTTTGAGATTAGTTTAGGGATTAAGGAGATTTAAGGATAAGAAAATTGATGCACAAATATTTATAGTGGTTCGACTTATCAACCAAGTCTACATCCACTACCTTAGCTCCTCACCAAGGATTTTCTAACAAATTAACTAATTTGTTCTTTATTTTTCCAAGACAGAGAGATAACCTTTACATATCCCTATATTTTCAATGGCTAAGATATAATCACTTCCCTTTTTAAAGGTTAAAAGATATGTAAACAAGAAAACGTCACAAAGTAGGTGTTTACAAAATTAAGCTCACAAGAAAACACTAAAAAGATTTGCAATGTGCTCAAACACACTAATATTTACAAGAGAAAGGAAAATAAGATTTCAAAATATTTACAAGAGAAAGGAAAATAAGATTGCAAAGCTCTTCTCTCGTGTTTGATTGCTTGGATAGGTGTTGTGTAACCTTCTTTAAGTGTCATCAACTTGTTTATATATGTTGGAATGAGTTTGTTGTCGTTTCTAACTGTTGGGGATGCTTTGGAGCCGTTGGAGATTAATTTTCTGTAAAATAAAATTGCCCAAGACAAGGAGTATCGATACTCCTTTAATGAGTATCGGTACTTCCTTTATAATTTCTAAATAAACTAGTCGTTAAAGACCGTTGGGCTTGAGCAGTATCGATACTATGTTTCATGGTATCGATATTATTGTGTAAAGTAGTATCGATACCTATTTCACATTCTGTAATTTTAGCAATTTGGAAAACAGCTGGTAGTATTGATACTGCCTAGAGAGTATCGATACTTCTCTTACCTTTGGTATTGGTACCACATGAACAGTATCGATACTACGTACCCTGAAAAACTATTTTGTGCTCAAATTCTCCTTTAATGGACTTTGAATTATTTTTTAAAACTATTGAACAAATTCAATCAAGTCCAAAAAACATTTTTGCCTTCAATTTGTTATATCAAAATATTATAAAACATGGTTCAACAATCTCCCATTTTTTATATAACAAAACATTTGAAAATTTGTTTTGGCAAAACTCCCCCTCAATAAAATATTTAATGAAAAAGAGCAATATTTGGAAAATATTAAAGCTCCCCTTTTTCATTTTTGAAATCGAATTTTTCAAACCTATAATCCTCTCCCTTTTTGTTATATAAAAAATAATTCAAATTTAAGGTTCAAAAATAACAATGGAGAGTAAGTAGTAATTTTAACATTAAAGTCATTTGAAAAATCAAAAACTCCCCCTAAAAAACATTTCAAACAAAAATTTGACTTTAAAAGCTTGACACTTAAAAGACATTGAATTTCAACAAAGATGAACAAGCATGTTAGTAGCACATGAAATTCAATATATTCAAGTCTAATATATTTTATGCAATATCAATTGTTGAAATTAAGTGCATGTGCATAAAGCTATCCAAAAATGTTATGCATTTGAAAAAATTGATATCAATTGTTAGAGAGATATCTTTTGCAATAAATCACGTGCATAAACATTTACGTTAAGGTCAAAAATAAAAATTTGTAAAAACAAAACATTAAAACCAATTTTGACCAAAATTCATTATGATGAACAAACATGTTAGGTATGGCTCATAAATATATCAGGTTTTTTATTATAAATAGAGATGTAACTTAAACCTATGAGACATTGAATAAAACTTCTAGCGCCGTCTAGGCACCGACGATGTAAGCACACTGCTGAACCTCGTTAAAAATTCTTGTGTTCTTTTGTTTTTTTTACCCGATTCTTCAACAAAACATTTATGAAAAATCTTTAAAACTTTAAAAATGTCCATCATAACATATTTTTAACATACATGAGATAAAAAACATAAAATCGTTTAAAATCAAAACTCATGCATGTTTAAACCAAATGAGCAACCAATTATGCAAGATACTCAAAATAAGCTTAGAGGTTACCCACTCCATATCAAGTATGGCTAGAGCATTTGAATATCTTCACTCTCATCACCATTGCTCCCACACACATACAAGAGACATTTATTTGGATTTTGGTATCCAAATTGCTTTGGATCCTTGAACATTAGTTTCAATGCCCCTTGTTCCTTTAGGAACCCATACTTGTCTAATTTTAAATCGTTTTCATTTCTTTAAAGGACAAATATATTCCTTGTGACCATGATAATGGCAATGTGAGAATTTTGCCATTATGAAACTAGATGAATTATTTAAAATGATTTATTTTTCTTTTGTTAAGTATTCAAGCTTAACTTTTAAATTAAAGCATTCTTTTTTAAAATTTTAAAATTTCACTTTTGAAAGCTCTAAATCAAATTTCAAAATTTCATTTTGTATTTAAAAATCCAATTTTGTTTTCAAAAGAAAATCGTTTTCAACTTTAAATTTTGAAATAATTTTCTTGTATTTGGAGTTCATGGTCTTAAACTCCAAAAAAAAATCATCATATGCGTCTTGTAACTCATCAAAAGAATATGAATCAAATTTATTAGAGTTAGAAGATACCTCGGGCTATTCAACTGCCATTAAGCACATTACCTTTGGTGATTCTTCTTTCTTGTCACCATGAAGTTCTTCGAGCTTATTCCAAAGCTCCTTGGTATTTGAACAAGAAGAAATGCCTTCATAGATATCAGGACCAAATGCACAAAACAATATGTGCATGACCTTGGCATTTTGTTGAGCTTTCTTCCTTTCTTGGTCACTCCACTCATTCGTCTTATTCTTTGGATAAAAGTAGTCGTTCTTGATCATCTCTCATGCATCAAGATAATTATATTGGATGAATAGCTTTATTAATTTCTTCCAATGACAGTAGTTGGCTCCATTGAAGTATGGAAGCTTATCGATCGATTGGGAGTCTTCCATGTGGAACGAGCCGGAGGTGGAAGCCATTTTCTCGGTTGCTTAAAAAAATGGATAGAGCTTCTTCAAGGATCGTCTCAAGGTTGTTAGACCTTCTAACGAGTCAAGCTATGATACCAATTGTTGGGATTTAATGTGCTAAGAGGGGTTGAAATGGATTTTTTAGATTAGTTTAGGGTTTAAGGAGATTTAAGAATGAGAAATTGATGCACAACGATTTACAGTAGTTTGACTTCTCAACCAAGTCTACATCCACTACCTTAGCTCCTCACCAAGGATTTTCTAACAACTTCACTAATCTGTTCTTTCTTTTTCCAGGACAATGAGATAGCTTCACAAATCCCTATCTTTTCAATGGCTATGATAGAACCACTCTCCTTTTTAAAGGTTAAAAGATATGTAAACAAGAAAATCTCACAAGATATGTGTTTACAAAATTAAGCTCACAAGAAAACACTAAAAAGATTTGCAATGAGCTCAAACACTCTAATATTTACAAGAGAGAAAAATAAGATTGAAAAGCTTTTTTCTTGTGTTTGATTGCTTGGATAGGTGTTTTGTAACCTTCTTCAAGTGTCCTCAACTTGTTTTTATATGTTGGAATGAGTTTATTGTCGTTTCTAACCGTTGGCGATGTTTTGGAGCCGTTGGGGATTAATTTTATGCAAAACAAAATTGCTCAGGATAGAAAGTATCGATAATCCTTTAGTGAGTATCGGTACTTTCTTTATAATTTTTAAATAAACTAGCCGTTAAAGATTGTTGGGCTTGATCAATATCGATACTATGCTTCATGGTATCGATACTATTGTGTAAAATAGTATCAGTACCCCTTTGAGTATCAGTACCTATTTTGCATTATGGAATTTGAGCAATTTGGAAAACAACTGGTAGTATCGATACTACCTAGAGATTATCGATAATTCTCTTATCTTTGGTATCGATACCACATGAACATTATCGGTATTACGTATCCTGAAAAACTGTTTTGTGCTCAAATTCTTCTTTAATGGGCTTTGAATTATTTTTGAAAACTATTGAACAAATTCAATCAAATCCAAAAAATATTTTGTCTTTAATTTATTATATCAAAATATTATAAGACATGGTTGAATAGATTACAATAGAATTACGACATACACCTTAAAAAAACTTATAAATTATTCGATACATATTTATACATAGTTTGATGGTGTGACTAAATCTACTATGCTTTCAAATTCTTTCTTCACAATCATATAACACATGAACAAACATAATACGTCCTCAAAACATTTACATCAAATTCCAATATTTTTGGGGGTAAAGTCTAAATAATAACACACCACAGTGGATGCCAGTCGTCACCTGGAAATATATATACATGAACATAAGCAGCATATGGTTAAAAACTTCTTGAAACCTAATTACTTATAACTTAATTTTTCTTCAGGGTAAAGCACTAGTAAAAACTCAACCACATCAAGGATATTTTGTATCATGCACTCTTTTACACTAGAGCAGTTTTCCTTAAAAATATTTGTAACCTTAATAATCATTTATGTGTTAATTAGTTAAACGAGATTAACTGATGATAATGGTAAAACAAGACACATATTGTTTATTATTAGAATTAAGAGTTTAATGTTTATGATTAGGAAGGATATTTAGGGTTTTAAATTTTATGATTTTAGGGTTTAGAAGCAATAAGTTTAAAGTTTAGCATGATTTAAGATTTAAGTTTTAAGGTACAAATATTTATTATAAACTCTCGTAAATAAACTAAATCAAATATCTTAAACCCTAAATCTAAACTAACCCTAGATCATCACCTTAATCTTAATTCCTAAAAATATAATTCATATATCTAAAATCCTAAACCTCACTTATAAATTTTAAGTGCTAATTATGACCTAAACCCCTAAAATTTCCTTACTAGTATTGTTGATTTATTTCATTTAACTATTCAACATAAAACATTAGGATAATTAGGGTTTAAAAGTGTTAGAGTGTATGATATTAATTAAGATTATTTTTATAAAAAATATATGAAGTATTATATTTTAAATGGAAGCCTAAAATGTTAAAGATTTAGCAACATTAAAAAAGAATATACATTAAATAGAAGAAGAAGAAGAAGCGAGTACTCCATGTTACCTGTATTATCTTGTTGAAGTGTTGGCATAGTTTTCGAACTTTCCTTGCGTTGGCAAAACATTAACACTAACTGGACTGTGCCCGACGAACAAAGCAACGTGACCCATCAGCTTATCTTTCCTCGAAAACGTGGTTCCGCAAGAACATCGCCACCTGAGATCACCACAGTGCTTCTCGTGAGTACGGAGATCCGACAGCATCGAGAACTGCTTCTGCTTGCACCGCTTGCAAACGTACATCTTAGGACAATGGCTCCTCTTGTAATGATTCTTCACGCAGATCATGGATTTCAAAGGTTGGAACTTGGCATGTCTCTGGTTCCACCTACAACCTTCGTGAGGACACGAATATTTCTTCGAACAGTTTCCCCCGCCGCCGCTATTGCTTCCCCTCATGGGGTTAAACAAAGCAGCGTTGGTCTTGTACTCATCACCATGAGCTCTCATGTGCATTCTCAGATTCGCATCTCGTTTGAACCCTTTACCACAAACGTGGCAGTAATGTGCGTACTTAGCTAACAGATCATCTACTTCCAATTCGACAATATCGTAATTCGAATCCGAAATATTCCCTTGCGACCCTTCGCTGGTTTTGCTTCTTCGAATCATTTCAGCCGATTCTCGCGAAGTTCGGTTGTCATCGTTGTTATTGAGATCATACCAACTAGATATTTGATCATTACTAGGATAAAACTCACAATCATCGCTAAAGTTTAGTTGTTTAGACATGCCATTATCGTCTCTACCATTGTCGTTACCTGAAATGGTTCCAAGAGACATTTGTTGGCAAACTACTATCATGGAAGACGCTGCTATGATGATGTCTTGAACCAAAGAACCCATGCTTGCTATGGCTAAAGACCTGTTTGACTCAGGGTGGACTCGATCCGAGGATTTTAAGATGCTAACAAGTGATTCAACCTGAAGAATTTTATCTTTCAAGATGGAGAAATTACAGAGGAGAGAGCTTGAACGAGCCTGATCTAATCCTGAACCAGGAAATGAAACATTAATATTGTCTTGATCAGCCATGGGATACATCGGCAAGCCCTGCGGCGCATTGGGGAAACATGAAGTACTCACCTCCAAAATCATTTTCAAAAGCTTTGGCTACTATATTGGATCAATTTTGGATTTTGAGTCGGATCGTGTTTTGCTTTTCATCTTCCTCGGAACTGAGATTTAATGTTTCATCGTTTGAGATCGGTTGAAAAAAATATACGGTTAAAGACAAATGGAAGTCAAGTCTAAGAGCATGTGTTCATCCCCACTTAAGACCTCACTCAGATACTTACACTAATTTATCTTCAGCGGCTATTATTATTGCAAATTTTTAATAAAGAAACGTTGAAATGATAATTATATTTGGCAGGAAAATATTATCTTAATCCATGTAGGACTTGTGAGATTGTATCATGCCATACTCTTAATTTTCTCCATTTTCTTGGATTTTTATTCCGGGAAACCAATGTTTCTCACGTATTTAGAAGTTGAAGTAATCAAAACCCTGTTGGATAAGACTTGGCATCAGTCATTTGCTCTATTTCCTCGGAAATTTCAATGGGTAATTAAATAAGTAATTAATGAATAAATTCATGGTTCATTATATGGTTATAACTTATAAATGAGATCAGAAAAATTATGAGTTATTCTATTAGATCAAAACTCGATTAATATTTAATTTGAGTTTGAATTCGATTCGAATTTTTAACAAGTTTAAATAAAGTACTTGATATTCGACTTAAAAAGTTTAAAAGCAACTCAAAAAAAATATATTAAAAAAATATTTAAAAAATTTAAATTATTAATAATATTAACATTAATATATTTTTTTTAAGCGCAATATAAAATTCTCATGTATTTAAGATTTAGGTCTGAATTCGAGTTTGAGTTTTAACTAAAATAAATCTAAGATTTTTTTTTTAACTTCAAGCTTTTTCGAACTTCAATTCATAATTTTGAATTTGAGTTTCAAACGCCATTTTAAAATTTTTGAATCAAGTAAAACTCAACAATATTCGAACTCAGTTCTACTCGTTTACGGCTGTAGTTCAGTCCATCAATCCATCATGTTTCGTATGGCTTTTTTTAGTGCGTAACTTATTGAATTGTTGGTGAGGTTGAATACTGGAACAAAACATTTGAATTGAAAAAATCAATCCATAAAAAATTCTGTAATAATTCCTTATAAAATAATCCATAAATAGTTCCTTAGGACCATCAATCACAACTAGATTCCCAGTTATTAATCGCTACTTCTCTCCCAAGTACCTAACCATCCTCTCTTAACTCTAATCATTGTCTGACTCTCAACCTCCATACCTATTCCATACAACATTACTAATACTTCAAGTTGACTAAAATACAAGGATTACACATAGAAATTGACCTATCCTTAATTGCATGCATAAAATCTGAAACTAATTGAGAATAAAAAAACGAAGTAACATTTGAAAGAAAAATTCTGTCGAAATAACACTTGTCTGGTCAATGGCCACGTTACGTGAGAGAATTGAGCAATCACTTCATGTTTCGTAAGGTTTTTATAATTCCAAAGGGGGTCAGAAAGCATCTCTTGTTGTTCTCATGCCGTCTTGTATATATTGCCCAACTTTCTTTCTTCTTTATCGAGGTGATATTTTGGGTACGGGTCCTTGATTTATTTTAAATAAGTTTTGTAACTGGTAAACGAAGAGCAATGTTGTGTGGTGGTTATCACGTCAGTCTTACACACTGTAGGTCCCCAGTTTGATCCTGGGCAGCAACAATTATAGTTTCTTTTTCACCCTTACCTTCGTGAATGAAAGGCAGCCATCAACACTAGTAACCACTTACTCAAAAGTTATTCAACTTGAACATGTACATCATCAGAAATCAGAACTCTTGGGAGTAAAACAAGAAATAATAATTGATATAATTTTATATATCTGTAAAAGTACAAGGAGTTGAAAGTTGAAACAGCACTAACTGTGTAATTCACTTTGATTTCATGATTTTATCTTCTTTTTTCAGTAATGACGATCTACCAAAGCTGGTGCGGAGAAAGCAACAGCTTGTTGAAACTGTGAATCTCTGAGATCGCCTTCTGGTGCTGGAAGATTAAGATTCAACTTTAGATTCTCATCTTTTTCTTTTTTTACTTTCCCTACCTCCTCACAAATTATCATTTGATCTTTAGGGGCTAGAAGTGTGTCATTCTTTGCTGGTCGTTCTTTCTCCTTGTCATGTTTGTCATCTCTTGGCTTTTTTTGAGAATATGGAGTAGAAGATGAGGAAGGATTTGAAGGATTACCTTGGTAAGAGGATGAAATACCTTGGTTATGTTCTATGAATTGAAATCTCCTTTGGATTTGTGCTTCGATTGTCATTGTTTTCTTTAGTGTATCTTCAAGGTTTTCGTACCCCTGGAGATCAAGAAGATCAGTGATGTTTAAGTTTAAGTCGACGACGAATCTTGACACGGTGACCTTTTCTTTTTCGGTTATGTTAGCCCTATTGAGTAAGGACATCATCTCCTTGTAGTAGTCTTCAACTGAACTTCTACCTTGTCGAAGTCGGTGTAGTCGTAGTTTAACTTCTCGTGTATAATGTGCCGGTAGGAATCGCTTCCTCATGGTTTGTTTGAGGTCGGCCCAAGAAGTGATTGTTGGAATTTGAAAGTTCTGGATCTTTTTCCTTGTTTGCATCTACCAAGTTCGAGCATATCCTTCGAATTGTATGGTGATGAGGTGAACTTGTTTAGCTTGGGGGTAGTCATTGTATGCGAACATGAGATCAATTTTTCCTTCCCATTCGATGTACCTGTCTGGATCGTTGTCTTCTTTGAAAGACGGGATCGTGAACTTTGGTTTTGTAAAAAGTTTGGGTGCTTGGAAACGTGATTGTTCTCGCCCGGGTACCAAAAGTTCAACATTGTTTGGTCTTGGATTCTGGTTTGGTAGATCTAGTTGTGGTTCTTGTCGTTCTTTCACAATTTCATCAAATCTTTCAACTTGAGTCGTGAGTCGGGCAAGTGCGACTAAGACAGCTGTAAGTGTCTTGTTGTTATTGTCGCCCATCAAGTCACTCCAAGAAAGTAACACAACGAGAGGCGAGTAAGCTGATCTTGTACTCTTAAAAACTCACTTTACCAAGTAGTCTTCCACAATTCGTATAGGAGTTTGATTACTAACAAAGGCGATAAGAAAACCTAAAAGTTCTAAGAGGCTAAACAAGGGGACTCCAAGAGAGCGAGAATGCAAGGAAGGAAGAAGTATGCAAACACTTTAATCCTACTAACACAAGAAAGATAATGTGTTAGATAATGCAAAAGAACAATAAAAAGGAAAAAAAAAAACCTAAAGCACTAAAAGTCAAAGAAAAAAAAAAGAACCAAACCAGAAAACCTAGAAAATACTGGATCAACTTGAGCAACGTTTTTGAGGGGGTTACCGGTGTCCAATAATTTTGGAAAAATTCTTGAATGTCTTTCGATGCGTCAAGAAACCACCTGTAAAATTTTTGAACCAAATACCTTCAGTAGTATCCAGTAGACTCTAATATCAATTGATAGGGAAGCGGTGGTGGGTTAATGAACGTTGCTCTTGTTGAAGAATCAAACCTAAAATGCTCTAGACTTGATGAAGAACAATAGGCAATGAATAGGGAAGGTGGAGGCAATAGTTAGGGTTCTTTAGGGTTTCTTTTAGGTGCTAGAAACAAGATAAGAAATAAGATTAAAAAAAATAAAATAAGATAAACAAGAAATCAAAAGATCTCCCTTATGAAGGTGAACGGTAAAGATGATTGATGGCGTGAATGAATATGTGGAAAATCGATGAATAATGTCCTATCGATCCCTCCTAGTCGCAATGAAAAGGCAAACACGATAATATGGCTCTAACCAACCCTCATAGTCGCGATGAAAAGGCAAATTAGAGTGTGAAGATTAATCTCCCTCACAATAACTTGAAAGAACTCAAGGAGAAGAAGCTTCGAAGGCACGAGGCAATCAACAATTGCAAAAACGAACTCTTGTTGTATTATTAATCAAAGAAATCTTCGAGACTTTGTTCTTCTAATAGGTTCGAGTAGAAACATTAGTCCAAAGAAGCATGTATTATAGACTCTGGTGCATGTATCAAGTGGGGAGAGGCTATTTTAGACAACAATAATAGGAATAAGCAAATACCTAACGGAGACGGGGGACTAATATTACCGGGAAAATAATGCAAAAAATCACTATTGGTATTAATTTTTTACTGGCCCTTGGTAACATTATCCATCCAAACATGGGTATATTCAGTTGGGAAAAAAACATTCCCCCATGAATGAAATATACCGTGAACCAAACGAGACCTTAGATTAAAGCAAAGATGGTTAAAAAGCATGGGATGTCATGTCTTCTTAAGGCCGTTTGGTTCAGGGTATCTCACATTACCGAAGGAATGAAATGTCATTCTCCTGTTTGGTTGACAAACATTCTCAACCCGGTAATAATTTATTCCCAACTGTGGTATTTTGGGGGTATATTGCCGGGAATGTGATTACCCCTTCCCTTAGGTATTGTTACATTCCCGGTGTTTTGGACTAAAATACCTTTATTTTTTTTTCAAAAATATCCTTCTACTTTCGTTGAATAAAAAAATTATACGAATTTTAAATTACAAATTTATCCTAAAACTATTTTAGATTTACAAAAAAAAAGTCCATAATTAGAATTTTATATAAAGTTCAGGGGTTAAAGTAAAATTTTACCCATTCATTAAACCTATTTATCTTTTCAATTTTGTAAAAAAAATTATATAAATTATATAAATTTAAAATTTTTAAAGAAAATATATAAATTAGTTATAGTAAAATTATAGTAGAATTCAACTTGTTAAAAAACAAATATATAATAAGGACAATTTGGTAAAATATATATTCCAATAATCTTTTATTCTTTTAACCAAACAATGTAATCTTATATCATGCTAAACGAAACAAAAACAACAATGCAAAATTTCTAGTAATCTTATTCTCGCCGGTAATCTTATTCCATTTGATAATCTTATATTCCGTGAACCAAACGCACCCTAAAAAGCAAACTACCACCACAAAAAATATCCATTTCCTAAATGATTATGGTTACTTTTAAGCAAACCAACCCCCTTTCTTATACAATACACACACACACATATATATATATATATATATTAAAATGAGATATTATAATTGTTATTATATAATTTGATTATTATTATTATTGATCTCATTAATTACATTCACAATTATAATAAGAACTGCATTCCTAGTAAATGAATAGGTGATTTTCCCCAAAAATCACCCTCAGCAGCTTTATTTCCCTGTCAGACACCGTTCAGTCTTTATTTCTCGATCTAACACCATTTGTAGGAAGGTGCGACCCCTACACCGCGCCTTACGCTGATCTGGCACCACGTGAGTAAGGTGCGTCCCTGCAACGCGCCTTATGAAATGTGTAAAAAATTTGGGTGTCATTTTTGTAAATATTTTTAAAATGTGTCTAATATATAATTAATTTATATTAGGGTGATATTTGTGTAAAAACGTCAAATTTATTTCTTTATTTTTTGTGTGTGAAAAAAAACTTTATACATTAAAATCTTTAAATATTCTTTTACAAATTATTTTATAACTGGACAAATTTTGATTTTTACATGAAATTACACAATACGTATAATCTAGTATATGAAAACTTTGAGGGTAAGTATTTTAAAATATGAATAATTTTATAAAAGTTTTATAACTAATATTTCTTTTACAAAATGATGATGATGATGATAAATATTTTATAATTTAAAAAATTATAAATTTCATATATTTTTAAAAAAAATTTATTAACTTTTAAAATTAATTGTTTAAAAATATAAAAAAATATTAAAATAAACTTTTAATTACAAATGACTTTTGTAATAAAAATCACTCTACTTTTGATTTTTATGTGTGCGTGTGGGCAACTATATTCAACAGAAAAAATTGAAAAAGAAAGAAGCTTATACACAGGAGAAAATGATGAGACAAAACAATTTTTGTGAAGATTGAGTAAAAAAATCAAATCTTTGATCGGATATTTATTCATGGTACAATTGAGTTGATATTTAGATAGCAGTAAGATAATTTTGAGTTATTGACTTTGTACGATCGAATTTTCATTCGATTCTTGTAGCTTTCCACACCTACGACTGTTTAACAATCATAAACTTGATTTTAGGTATTGAGAATAAAGTATTTTAAAATTAATTATTTATAAATATTAAAATAAACTTTTAAATACAATTGAGAGATCAAATGAATTATTAATTATTAATTATTATTTTTAACAATAATTAATAATGTTTATTCATTTTTAATAAAATTAAAATTTAATATTTATTTTATATTTTTTAAAATCAATACTAGAAAGAATATTTTAAATAAAGATGTGATATTTTTTAGCTTTATATTATATTTTTATTGAATTTTATTCACTTTTAATTCTTTTTTATTGTATTTTTATTTATTTTTAAAAAAGTGAATAATAATTCATTTGATATCTCAATTGTAATTAAAAATTTATTTTAATATTTTTATATTTTTAAACAATTAATTTTAAAAGTCAATAAACATTATTAACTGTTGTAAAAAATAATATCACATAAAAAATAAATAGATAAAGTTGGCGTTTTTACATAAATATTACCTTAATAAAAATGAATTACATATTAGGCACTATTTTAAAATTATTTACAAAACTAACACTCATGTTTTTTACACGTTTCACAAGACGCGTCGCAGGGGCGCTCTTTACTCACATGACGCTAGATCAGCGTAAGACGCGGTATAGGAGCCACATCTTCCTGCAAAGGGTGTTAGATTAAAAAATAAAATTTAAACGGTGTCTGACAGAAAAATAAAACTGATGAAAGTGATTTTTGGGGAAAATCGCCAAATGAATATCTTAATTAGATGTCCTACCCAACAAGTAAAAAAGGAACACAACACACGCAGTTGCAAAGGTTTCATTGTCAAATGGGGTTCAGAGGATGTTTATTTCACACGTCATAAAAGTACATAACAAAGGGGTTTTCTTTTCCTATGTACAAATTGGGCTGATGATATTCTCCCCCACTGTATTCATAGAATCAACTGGTTTCGTGATATAACAAAAATTTTGATTCAAAAGCTGAAAAGTATACTTATCATGATGGAATGCTAAATAATTAGATATAATAAAAAATTTCACAAAGTGATGTCTGTCATGTGACCGGTAAAGGAAAAAAATGAATAACAATGGAGTGGGGACTACTTTGAGTTTATATAAAGACTCGCAATTAATATTTTATTTAAATTTCAGAAATTAAAAATAAAAATTAAAACTTTTCATTAACGTACCACGTCATCAAACTAATGGCTCCATTGATCAAAACTTAATAAAACAAATAATGTAAATATCAAAATTTAAGTTTTTTAGATTTGGTAAGCAAAAACATACAAATATAAAAGGTAACTGCCTATTTCAGTAATTTACCCATATTTAAAATTCTTTGATTCATCCATTTAATCAGTAATTCTACGGTACCTAATTTAAAGTTGGAAATGGCGAAAATAGACACAATTGAAAATAAAAAAATATATATTTTAGGTTAAAAGCAACCTGTTATATTTTTCTTAACATTTTCAGCTAAACTTAAAATGTTACAAAATAGGTAACATTTTCAATTACCAACAAAAAATGACATGAATAAGATAAAATTTTAAGTTCAAGTGAAAATGTTAAAAAAAATAACATTTTAGGTTCAACTAAAAATGTTAGGAAAAAAAATAACATTTTAAGATACGTCCAACCGAAAATGTTATGTATTTTATTATATTTTCGATTGCGCCTACTTCTGCTTCTTTTTAACCTTAAATTAGGTTACCTTTATATCATATTTTTAATTATACTTATTTTTGTCGTCTTTAGCCTTAAATTAAATTATCGTTCCTTAAACTTTTTCATTTATTTTAATGAAATTTCATATGATTTGACATCTAATTGAAACAATGTGAGAAACAAGCTTAAGAGTTGAATAAGCTATATTTAGTCAAATTATAGTTCTGGCCCGTGGACTGCACTCAAATTTAAAATTTATTTTCCATACGTTAATTTACATATTTTGTCAATATTACTAGTTAGTTGAAATATAATTCAATTAAAATTTGGACATTTCAGGACACATTTCCAACTTAGAAAAAAACAAATTGCGTGAAGCTTAAATCCCAAAGACCAGAATCATAATTGACCCCAAAATGACATGTTTCAACTCGCAAAAGCAGTAAAATTACTAATAAGCACCACCACCAAATTTTATTAGCTAAAAAAAGAGAGCATGTTTTACGTCTACAGGTTCACAAGCCATAACACATGCAACTAACTTATTTTTTTTATTGCATAGGGAATACTGATCGACAAAGATAATAAAGCTCTGCAAATGTTGTTCCACTAAAACCTCTTGTCTGCACAATCTCACATAACAGGCTATCAACATTGAAAGCAAACATCACATGCGCCTCTATAAGAGAAGCTGCCAACACCAACCAACAAATTGCACATCTTCCAACTGGTGCTACTGAAAAGATTTATTCCGGAGTCAAGCCGACAACTCCTGCAAAGAGGTTACCAGAAAAAGAAAACAAAGTAAATATGAGAGGAACTTATGAATTCAATATAATGTTTGATGTATGCTGGAATGAATTTTGACATAGGCATGTCAAAGATATGGTACAAAAGATCACTTAGTCCAACATTAAAACATTCGATCCCCATGTGGCAGAATCAACAATACCGTGTCCAACATAAAGCATATAGATCATTCACCACATTCATTGCAAAGCCATGGATGTACACGCATTTTAAACAGTTCAAGAGTCCATTGGATGGGTGGATGGATGGAATTGCACCAATCTAAAGGATCTAATAGACTAATATACTACAGAGAACAGTTTGAATCAAATGCATCATTGTCCCCTCGAGCAAAATTTAGGCTTGACTGATCCAATAAAGGGTAAAACATCAAAATAAAATGAAGGCCACTGGAAACTGGAACAACAAGCGGCAGTGTCCTCCAAGTTTCTAATGCACATTTGGCTTAACTAAAATAAATTATGCTCAAAACAAGGATCAGTCTGGAAAATGTATGAATTTCTTGTCTGCTCTGTAAACATATAGGCATGTAGATAAAAGTACATTTGCACATACCACATGCCAATCTTCCGCCAGCGTTGCCAGTGGTTAGACTAAGTTCATGTCCACCTGCAGATGCACGATAAAACATAAATATAAGCAAAAGGAAAGTAAGAAGTAAATAAGATGGAAATTCTGAAACCAGAAAGCAAAATATGCCCCGACTAACAGTATCAACTATGATGAAGCATGCATGTAAGTTAAAAAAAAATGTATTCCTATAACCAAAGTGCACTGTCCGAACAACATAAGAGCCACTACATGTCACTCTCCTGTTCACAACTTATGAGGGTACTTAACTCGTTAAGGAAAAGTGAGAATTGCAAGCCAAATACTTACCCTTTCCAAGATCATCCTCAAGCTCATGAACCACAAATGCTCTTCCAACGACTGCATTCGGGCCACTTAGTGGTATCTGCTCAAGAGAGCCAAAGTTTAGTAACAGAAAAGAAGACATTATCTAGAGCCGCTCACACTGAAAAAGGAAAATTCCATGCATAGAAACACAAGAATATGCTTATCCACGGGAAAAAAAAACACAAGTTTCTGAGAATCACTTGATTGTCCATAATTGTTGCCTCTGCCACTCCTGCATTACCAAACATTAGCCAATGAATCAATTTAACAGGTGCAAAGACAAATTTAAAAAGAAAAAAAAACAAAGTAAATCAAAGGATGTATTACCATCAGCATTAGCAATTATGTTTCCCAGGTCACCCGCATGGCGTACTTCATCCTCAGGAGCACCATGTGTCATGTTGTTAGGATTGAAATGTGCTCCTACCATGTAAAATTTTCAAAAATAAAGGATTTATGTATAAACAAATTGAAACTCCATACCAACAAACGGCATCAGACTCAAATGAAATAAGTTATACCTGTTGACATGCATCCATTTGTTGTGTCACCATACTCATGCTACACAAAAGGGGAAAAAAGAGATCAAAATCATGTATTTAAAAGAGCTTCTTTGTACTGAAATACACCGGAAACAAGCAGCTAAAGCCGAAAACACTCACTAGGTGGAACCCATGAGGCCCTGGAGTAAGACCGGTAATACGAACATTCACAGTTGTAGGACCTATTCATTCACACAACAAGTAAGCATCCTCAGATAATAGAAATATTTGATTCCTAAAAGGATAAAAGACATACAAGCTGAACTTTTTTTCTTTTTTAGCTTCCTTATTAAACAGCAAAGACAGAACATAACATTGATTTTATTTCCTAAAATATGTTCCGGTCTATCATTCATTGCAAATTGAACTTGAACATTAAAAAAATAGCATTTCATGTCAATATCACCTTGAAAAACCAGAACAAACCCCAAACTCGAAGAAACCTTGGAAATGAATTTGCCAATAAGAAAAACCCCTAAAGGAAAAATGTACCCAATTTCCTTTCTTTTGCTTCTTATCCTTCTCAGCGGGAAAGTTTTACGTGCGTAATCCTTAATAAACGGTTTACATAGCTGTATATTAAGGTAGAACTTCCATTCTCAGCAAAAGAAGGAAATCCAAAAACGAGAGAAAATTTCCCCATTAAAAAGCAACAAAACCAAAACCCAAATCACAAAATGCATTAGAAAGTTAATAAATGGATCAACAGTGAGGTAATAAAAAGAAAACACTGACCATCATCTTCCTGGGTCAACGTGACAACGCCTTCAACTTTAGAATCACCTTTGAGAACAGCGACTGCTTTCTTAGTGACAGCGAAAACAGAAAACGGCTTTTTGGGGATAGAGGCGGAAAGGGAGAGGGATTGACGGGGGAGCTTGAGAGAGACGCCGCGAAATGAAGAGAGAAGAACCGGTGGGTTTGAAGGGTTAGTTGAGTAAGGAAAAAGGAGAGTGTGGTGAGATGGGGTTGTTGCGAGAAAAGCGTGGGCTGCCATGGCTGCTATTGTCGCAGCTTGCAGTTGCTGAGAGATGAAGATTATGATAATGTGAGCTGAGGTTGTGGTGGCTGAGTTACCCGTGAGATATAGCTATAGAGTGTACAAAGCTGGTTTTATATATGGCTGGATCTGTTGTGGTTCAGCCCTCGAATCTTCTGAGCTGAGGGGACCGGTGCGGTCCAAACACGAGTAAGAAGTGAAACCCTCTGGGTTTTTTTATTATTATTTATTTTTGGGTAAAGTACGCAATTAGTCCGTGGGATACAAGGTGTTGTTTTGTTAAGTATTTTAATTATTAAAGTTATAAATTAGTTCTTAGGTTATAAGGTGTTTTGTTAAATCTCCTAACTATTAAAAATTATAAAATGATCATAAGTATTTCATATGTTCTAAACTCGTTATTTTCTATTAAAAATTTGATGTTGATCTAAGCTGGGCATTAACTTATTAACTGAGATATGATAAAATATGGTCATATAATCTCAAATGACTATCATATCACAATTAATAGCTTGACGTCTAGCTTTGACGACTATTAATTATTTTATAAAAAAAAATAATTTGAAATATATGAATGGTCAAGTAACAATTTTATAATTTTTAATAGTTAAATACTCAACAAAATATCACCTTATAATCAATGGGTCATCTATGTTATTTTATCTTTAATTTCTTTTATCTCGATAAATGGATAAATTTATCATTTAATTTAATCCTCAATTTTTTATTTTTCTAACAAAATGATTTTATTTAATAAAAAATATTATTTAACAAATAATTAATGTTTATTTTTAAAATGATATTTTTATATATATTTAATTATCAATGACATGTAATGTTATAGGAATCTTATTTCGTCTAAACTAACCTTACGACCTAAATCTAAATCCCTAAGGGTGCGTTTGGTTCACGGAATGTAAGATTACCAGTGGGAATAAAAGATTACCAGTGAATAGGATTACTGGGAATGTTGTATTTTGTGTTTGGTTGGTTTAGCAAGAATGTAAGATTACCGTGTTTGGTTAAAGGAATAAAAGATTATTGGAATGTATATTTGACCAAATTGTCCTTATTATATATTTGTATAATATTACAAATTGTAAAATATTTATATATTTTCTTTAAAAAATTAAATTCATAATATTTATATATTTTTTTTACAAAATTAAAAATATAAAAAAATTTAATGAAAGTGTAAAAAAAATTTAATCCTTGAACTTCATATAAAATTTTAATTATAGATTTTTTTTTGTAAATCTAAAATAATTTAAGGATAAATTTGTAATTTAACATTCGTAGAATTTTTATTATTCAATGACAGAAGAATGTTATTTTTGAAAAAAAAATAAAAAATTAAGGGCATTTTAGTCCAAAACGCCGGTAATGTTACAATACCTAAGGGAAGGGAGGTAATGACATTCCCAGTAATATACCTTAAAAAATCTACTATTGGTAATAAAACATTACCGGGAATGAGATTCCCAGCCAACCAAACATGAAAATGTGAGATTCCCATCCCATGGGAATCCCACAATCCTTGAACCAAACACCTCCTAAGGGGGTGTTTGGATGGGGGAATGTGGGATTCCCATAGGAATGAAATCCACATTCCCCCATTTGGTTAGTCCGGGAATCTCATTCCCGGTAATGTAAGATTATCAATAGTGGATTTTTTGTGGTATATTACCGGAAATGTCATTACCTCTATTTCCTTAGGTATTGTTGGATTACCAGTGTTTTGGACTAAAATGCCCTTAAATTTTTATTTTTTTTCCAAAAATATAATTATTCTGTCATTGAATAATAAAAATTCTACGAAGGTTAAATTACAAATTTATCCTTAAATTATTTTAGATTTACAAAAAAAAATCTATAATTAAAATTTTATATGAAGTTCAGGGGTTAAAATAAAATTTTACCCTTTCATTAAACCTTTTTTATATTTTTAATTTTGTAAAAAAATTATATAAATATTATGAATATAATATTTTAAAGAAAATATATAAATATTTTACAATTTGTAATATTATACAAATATATAATAAGGACAATTTGGTCAAATATACATTCCAATAATCTTTTATTCCTTTTACCAAACACGGTAATCTTACATTCCTGCTAAGCCAACCAAACACAAAATACAACATTCTCAGTAATCCAATTCCCTGGTAATCTTACATTCACGCTGATAATCTTACATTCCGTGAACCAAACGCACCCTAACAGCAAACCCGATTTACTTACCATATAAAATTATATACATATAATATTAATGCTTAAAGTTTTGGATTATCAGCAAAGCCGATCACCTCTTCGGTGAGGCCTGAATGATATGAAAGCATACCCCACAGGGTTTGGGTACTTGGATTGGGCTTTGTGGTTTTGGCCCAAGTGTTAACTTAAAAAGGACTTGTACAAGGCTATCCTTTCACACAGACGAGATTGGACCGCCACCATTTGTACCTCACTTACTGTTAATAATATTTTGCTCTCTACTTCCAAAATTAATACCCTCTTTGGACGAGACCAACTCACGGAGGAGACCGCGGGATGGGTGGATTAAAATAAACACGGACAGTGTGATGGATACTGTTGAAAATCATGTTGCAGTTGGGAGTATATTTCGATGATGATTGGTTCTGGATTTTCACGAAATATAAGGAAATATTCGGTGCTGAATGTTGAACTATGGGCGATATCAGATGTTTTTGGGCATGTACAGAGACTTGTTGATGTACAGAATTGGAATATGGTAACATAGAATTTATAAACGGTCTTTCGAAATCAACATCAAAACATCAAGATAATGTTTTTACAACTCCACCGGTTCAAGTGCTGAAACGCTTTCAAGTGGTTAAACAGCTTAGTGTTTTAGAAGATATTTAATTTCCTGTTCTATTTCAAGTGGATAAATTTCTAATTAAACTAAATTGATTAAAGTAGTAAAAAGAGATAATTGATCAAACATTTACGATTATACTTTCTTTTAATAATATGAATGATTACAAGATAATATCTACGAAAAAATATTTTTTAATCATTGAAAATATATACACCTTACGTACACAACCATTCAAATCTAGGTATTCAATGAGTTCACTTTTAAAATTATACTTGTAATTTAAATTTCCAAAAAAAATATAATGGTAGAATTACATCCTATATTATATCTTAATGGTAATTTAAAATTGTGGTACAAAAACAAATATCATAATCCTGTAATGTAATTTAAAACGACATCGTGTAATCTTGGATTATTAACGTATCCTTGCTATCAAATACTATTGTTTTTTTTAACTTCTCATTGCTCTACGCTTCTTTAATTTTATATATTTTAATACTATAAATCACATCAAGATTTCACTATCATTACTTTTTCAATTCTCTAGTTTACGTGATGAATAGGGATTTATAAGGTGGAAAAGTCACCATGTGATTTGAATAATACTATTTTGAAAGTTCATTTTATTATTTAAATATTGTTTATATACAATACGTAAATAGTTTATATATTTTATAATTTAAACACCAATGCTTTTCGAAAAAGTAATCTGATTTGACTAATTACTATTATAAAAAAAGGTTAATAATGATAATAAAAAATATTATATTTGTATCATATAAGTCAATGTCTTGGAAATATATCATTTAAATCGATGCAATAATAATGGACCTCATATCTAAAGTTAATATGGTCTTATAATTTTTGTACAATTGATATAATGAAGTAAACTAGAATGATATTTCACTTCTTGAAGAAAGTTTAGAAAAATCAGAGAAAAATTATGGAGGCAAATAATTGTAGTGTGAAAGGATGAACAATAGATCTAATAAAAAAATTATGTTTGATTATTATAACTGTTTCAATTACTTACTAAATTTAAAATAATATAATGATTTTTTTTTCAATTTTCAACAATTACTAGAGACGTATAATTCCATCTTGTTAAAGAGAATCCAACTTGTTAGTAGACCAGATAAATGGAGTGAATTAGATGATAAGTACCAAGTTTTACGGATATTCTGCAAAAAAGTCTAGCAGCTTCAGTCTACAAGCTTATAATTGACAGAGACATTGTGGACAGACTTGATATTATCCACAACACGTACGATGTCTGGTCCTCACATTTTCTAAAATCTTTGTCCCGTCCATGTAGGGATGGATCGAGAAAAGATAGTTAGGCAGATGTTTCTCTATAATATTTAAATTATAAATATATTTTAGATAAATTTGATGATAAAAATGAAGGGAAAACAACTTTATTTAGTTAATACACGATTAACATTAAAGAAATATGAATATTTTTTATCCTAAAATGAAATGTTAGAGGTCAAAATGCTTTAAAAAAAGAGTCAAAGTAACTATTCAGTTAAATATTAGAAGTCTTTTTGCCCTAAAATAAAATGTTAGAGGTTAAAATACTAAAAAAAAGAATAAGTGAAACTCATTAAAAATCTTCTTACTGGTAAAGGCTCCTTATGGATTGTTTGGATTTATAGCTATGTGATAAAGAATAAGACCTTAGAGTCATTACCAGAGGTGCTTCTTTTAGTTGGTGCTTCAACATACTTTTAAAAGTAAAAACAGAGGCTCTTCCTATTTTAAACGCACGTGCAACGAAAACTAAAGATATCTGGGGAAAGATTCGAGTCAAACGAGACAAAGTTCCTTGACATAAATTGATTTGGTTTCCCCTATGTCATAACCATTTTTTTTTGTAAAACAATTAAATATTATTTTAAAAACGATTATGACTTTAATTTGGAAAAAATTGGGCAATTTTGGATTAATTTGAATTAAATTGAATAGAGTCGCCATCGACCTTTGGATTAGGTAAGTCGAATACCTAAAAAACGTTTTTAAAACAATTTTAAGTAAAAATCATTTTTAAGACAAAAATGGCATGCGTTTACCAGAAATCGTATTAAAACGGGTTCGGGAGTCGGTTACGCGTGGGGAAGGATTAGCACCCTACAACGCCCAAAAACTGGTACTGGATCGCTTACACGTTGTCGTAAATGGCAGAACTTATAAATCGAATATGAAATTAAAATGTGATCCATTTATTGAACATTGATTAATTTGATTCGAATTAAATAAAT